TTTTGCTACTATATTCAGCTAAATGTAGGACAAACTTTAACATAGTTAATTTTGTTGCCTAGTTCCAGTGTAGTTCAAGTAAGGAGAAGAAAGGAAGGCTTTAGAAATGGCGGAATATTCTCTCCATGTGGCAGTTGATTGACGACTTCTGAACAGGTTCTGTCTGTTCCACTTCTGCTGGTGGTACAAAAGCGGAATATATGTCACATTCAAAATTTTCCCTTCTGTTCCTTCTCCATTTTGAATTCTGGCTGCATCTACTATTTTGTCGGCACATGTGGAACGCATTCTAAACCCTGTTCCAACATTTAATCCCGAATGTGCAGAACTAAGTTTTAGGAATATCCTTCTAGTATTGGTATTCAAGTAATTTTGGATTGATCAAAAAATTTCGAAATATAATGCCAAAGATATATTTTCAAACAACCATTAGTTAATGTTGTTGAAATAATTAAGAGTAAAGGTAGACAGTGAAATATTTGTTTTGATATTTTCTAGGTGTACCAGAAGATAGAGATGGGTTATTTGATACAATACAAAGATCAAAAAATCATTATCAAAAACGAGCTTACCAATGTATTAAAATGATGGTGACTTTATTTACTCAGTGAGTTTTGTACTTATTTGACTTTCTTTTGTTGAATTTTACACCAGGATCACCAAGATTCTTATTCTGTTTAATATCTCAGTTAAGGTGAGGGCACACAATCGGTCTTGGCCAGAGACTTTTGTCGCCGACTGACACAGGCACACAAGGAGACAAAAATCTCCAGTTGGTGTTTTCCACCTTGTCGATAATCATGAGCATGCAATTGAAAGGAAAATGAATCTGATTGGATGATGACGGTCTGTCTTGCAGACGATAAAACTATCAGAGACAATTATCAAACAAGTCCATTGGTGATCTAATTTACCTTAGTAGATATGTTCAAATCTTGAATTATCAAATGCAACTGCAGTAAATGGCTTATTTACTAAATGGCCCAGATCCAATATAGTTGGAAGTTTCTCCAAGCTGCTGCCAAATGCCAGCAGACATTTTCCTCCTAGATCACCTCTGAGTAAATGATACCATAGGATTTTTATGACATTATGTTATTTTCAGTTGTGCTCCAGCAGCTACTATGTTTCAAACAAATGGTGATTTAAAACGAAAGTGGACTTGTGCTGTAGATTGGTTAAATGATGAACTAGACAGAGTAAGTAATATTTTTTCAATATTAAAGTTTGAAATTGCAAGTTGTTGGTCTGTTTCCACCAGCAGTATATTGTGCTTGACTGAAGTTTTTTTTATCAAAGTTCAAAAATTTGTTCTGCTTATTTTTATTTGATTTGTAAGATTTTTGGTAAAATTTCTGTTCTCTAAAATCTCAATTTGAACTTTCATTGAATTTTGCCACATGACCATATTTGAAAATTTTAAGCCTTATTTTGAATTATATATTTGTAGAGACAATATCCAGGAGTAGCTCAGTACACCTATAATAATTGGTCTCCACCAGCTCAGTCTAATGAAACTTCTAATGGGTAAGATAATTTGAAATACTGATAAATCAAGGCACCAACTTGAGTAGTATATAAAAGTTTCTGGTTTTTTTTGCAATCTGAAATGGTGCAGAACAAGGTTGTTCATATCCTTTTTGTTCAGTAAGAAATATTATAACAGATATACAATACATAACAAAGAGCTTCAGAGTCCCACCAGTTGTTCTGAAAAGTTAGTGGTACTATATTTCCAAACATTGACCCGCTCTGAAAACTAACAGGTTGAAAGCTGACCTTTGGAAGACTTATTCAGCATTACCCACCAAGTACAACCTTAACTAATTAATCCATTATTATCATACAGGTACTTCTTAGAAAGATCACCCAGTGCTAGGATGACATTAGCTAAAGCTTTTGAACTGTGTCCAGAAGAGGTAAGTAGAATGTATTTGGTATCCATACCCTTAAAACTACAGGTGATTATTGAAAAATGCTTGTAGTGAATGTAAAGAGGTTTTCTAAAATTTGTATATGTATCAGGGACACTGATTTCAATCAGGTATCTGTTGTTCCAGCGATTCACTCCAAAATCTTTTTATCTTTTCGCGCTAAGTGTGTCGTCATCAATCACTTACTTTTAGTGAAATGGCAAATGATTTTGATTCTTTAATAAAAGAGTTTTATTTGTTAATTGGAATAGGTAGTGTCCCTTCAGATATATTTACACACTTTCCTTTTTATACGCCCACATAAATTTGAGGCGTATTTAGTCGTCACCTATATCCGTCGTCGGTCCTTCTGTCCACAATTGCTAGTAAACACTCAAGAAGGCACTCTACTGATGTTGACGAGACTTGGTATGATTGTTTGTAATCAACAAGGATGAAACTTGCTGAAAATCAGAAAATAAAAAAATATTTAATATGAGTTCTTGAAATGCTCGTTAACACTCTAGAAGGTTCAATTTTGACGATAATTGTGTAAATGTTTGTAATCACCCAAGGATGAACCCTTTGAAAATCAGAAAATTCGAAAAATATTTAGTATGAGTTATTGAGTTATCAGTTCTTGAAACGCGTTCAATTTTCAGCCTATCAACATTCTAGATGGAACAATTTTTGACAAATTTTGACAAAACTTGCTACTATTATTCAGTATCACCCAAAAAAGTTCAAAAGAAGTGTATTTCTGAAGGTTGAATATTCCGTCTTGGTGATTGTTACCGTAGGCCTACTGAGAATATTTTTATATAAAATCAAAGCTGCCATTGGGCGTATATTACCTTGCCTGGCAAGCTATCTTTATGACAGGATGAAGAAGGTGAAACAGTTGTAGACGATGTTGAAAATCCTCCAGAAGAATCCAACACCAACTACAATCCATCATCATCATCACAAGCTACAGTTTCTGTTAACAACATCCAACAACAACAACAACAACAACCACCACCTCTTCAAAACAACCAGGTTCAACAACAACAGCAACAACAACAACAACAAAACACCGGCAAATTTACAAACCATAGCAACCAAATAAATAATCAACTGAACCAATCAGAGCAAGAACAAGAAGGTCAAAGTTCATCAACTAGTAAGAGTTCGGTAACTAAGGACTCTGAGCAACCATCTTAATGTTTATTTGTTGATTTTATTGATAATTATACAATGCTTAGTGATGGGGACGTGACCATATGCATTGGTCAGTTGGTCATAATCAACTGATGGCGGTCAGCACTTTTTCATCCATTATCAGTATGGTCAAGTACCACAGCAGAAATTTCTGAATGAAAATGAAAATTTTAGACATTCGAATTTTGTGATCGAGTGTGATAATATAAAACATGACTCACGACCACAGCCCAGCCATTAGTCCTATTTGCAATGAATGCTTCAGATATTGTCAGCTTACCAAGTTACCAAAATGCAAATTCATGTCATGAGAAAAAATTCATGATATGATATAATATCTGAACTTTTTCATGTGATAAATTGATATCATCTGGATTTTTCAGCTATCTGAAATATTTTCATGGAATTTATTAATATCTGAAATATTTTCATGGAATTTATTAATATCTGAATTTTTCATGAGATCAATTGATATCTGAACGTTTCATGAGATCAATTAATATCTGAAAGTTTCATGAGATCAATTGATATATGAAAGTTTCATGAGATCAATTGATATCTGAAAGTTTCATGAGATCAATTGATATCTGAAAGTTTCATGAGATCAATTGATATCTGAAAGTTTCATGAGATAAATTGATATATGAGAGTTTCATGAGATAAATTAATATCTGAAAGTTTCATGAGATAAATTAATATCTGAAAGTTTCATGAGATCAATTAATATCTGAAAGTTTCAGGAGATCAATTAATATCTGAAAGTTTCATGAGATCAATTGATATCTGAAATATTTATTAAGATAAATAATATTATCTAAAATGGGTTATATTATTTGAAACTGTTCATGATACACTTGAGACGAATTGATATTATCTGAACTTTTTTATGATACAAATTCATATCTGAATTTGATCTTAAAATGAGTTGAAATTGAAACTCCTACCAGTGGTGTCAGAGCCTCTCCCCACCCCCATTCTTTTAGTCTTTAGTAAAAGACTGACTATTACTATGTAAGTAGTAAATAGTCACCAGTTCATGTTATTTCTGTATATTTATTTTTATGTTGAAGACATTCATTTTGTAATTTATTGTTTTTTTTTTTCATATTTTCGACCTTTTGTTAGTGCTTTTGTAAAATATTTCTATCTTCTACATGGGATAATTGTTGACTTGGAATTCCAGATTTATAGTATTTTATGGTATACTACCTCTTAGGATGACCAACAAATTTAATCTTTAAACTTGGCCAAAATAAGTCTTTATTCATCAGTGTCATAACTATACAAAAGAATCCTTCTATAATCTAATAAATCCATATAACTAAGTAATAATTCTTTCAAAGAAGTAATTTTGAAACATGCTTCAATAGGCCTAATAATTCAGTTTAATTGATATATCATGTTATATAGAGATTCTATTCTACTCATGACACCTGGTAAGTTTAACTAATGAATATATACACTTATTGACCAAGTTTAAGACCTTAAATTTTATGTCCTGTTTAAGAGGTAGTATTCCTTTAACATTTTAGTTTCTTGAGTCTTTTAACTCTGAAATAAATTGGCATGAAAAACATTACTAGATAAATGCTGCAAAATCAGAAAAATATAGCTTATCTACTGTTTGGAATATTTCTTGTATATCAAAACTTAGTATAAAACTTTCCTCCGTTTCTAGAAAGTCAAATTTGATGAGATATTTTTATGATTTCGTGAAGATGTTTTGACCAATGAAAAGTATCACATCATAAACAGCAACTTAACTTTTGAAATGATACTTTTCATTGGTCACAATCCTCACCATCTTATAAAGAATCCAATCAAATTTGACGTCCAATGCATCCATGGCGACAGCCATTGAATTTCAACATTGCATGACTGTTCTGTTTGATTGAAAGACGAAATCTTTCGTATTATAATGATAATGTATATTTGTATATAGTTTAATGTTATATTTAATGCTTACTAAGTGCTATCATTACAAAGGTAATTTCAAATATAATTCTGTATTCACAGCTTACAGACAGTGTTATCAAATTTTATAAGTAAATCCTCAAAATAGTGTTACTTGTGCTGTATTCGTTACCCCTGTGATAAATGGGAATTAGGAAATTTACCATTAGGAAATAATATTCGATACCAAAAAATAAAAGGGTGGAAAAGTTTGTCTTGAGCAATCCAAGTTTCATAATTGTGGAAGTGACCATTCTAGTTTCTTAATAAAAAGCAAATTTTATAAAAAGTAAAGTATTGAATATCTGAGATAAGCAAGAAATGGTGGTTACCACATCCAAAGGGAAAATTGACTATTTCCCAGGGTTCCGAAATAGGGTATCAGTTGCATTGTGGGATTTTGTATCGTAATATACCTTACTTGTGATTCTTAAAAAATCCTATAACTTAAAAAATTCTAGAATTAGTTTGGAGATTACTTTTAAAGATATGTGTTTATATATGTGTATTATTATTGTTAATTATCTAATACAAGCCATATGTAAGGATATGTAAAGGATATGTATTGCTTATACATCATAGAAAACCAGTACACTCAGAAATGCTCTGTGCTCATTTTGTTCTATATTCAAGTATCTGCCTGTTAATTACTGGATTCCAGTGTCTGCTTAGAAGGTCCTGTACTTGAGTACTTTGAATTTCTGAAATTAATATTTTGATGGCTATATCTCTGTAAAAGGATATTACCTCTTAGAATGGACATTGAATTAAAATTCGTAAGCTTGGTCAATAAGTGTATATATTCATTATTTTGACTTAACAGGTGTCAAAATTACTTAGTTTAATGAATTATTACTTAGTTTTATGGATTTATTGGATTATAGAGGGATTCTGTTGTATAGTTTTGACACTAGGTAAGTCTACTAATGAACAAAGACTCTTTTAATCAAGTTTAAACATTGCAATATTTTGGTCATCTTATGAGGTAGTATACCTTTAAAGGCTCTCTTTAACCATATTTAGTAGCTAAATCTGTAGTGTAGAGATGTATATATATATAACAATTGAAATAGCTGTCATTTTATTTATGATAAATCCAGTGATACATATGTATATATTTATATCAACCAAATTTACTTGTACATGACCCTATAATAAACTTTCTAATTGCTAACCCTAGAAAACAGCACTGCATCTACCTTGTATAGCTTCTATTATATCCAATGCTATTTGTTATGCCTTTCATTGTTGATCCATGATGCATTGGCTTATTATTCAGTACAGTTACGTTGTATTTTGGTCAATTTCTGGAGGTGTTAAAAGCATGATTCATTTTGATGTGATTTTATGGGTATCATCATTTCAAGATACCTTTAAGGTAACTCTTAAATGTAAATCTATATCTTTGGCATTAATATATAGAATTACATTTAGCTGTGCCTTTAATCCTTTGCATAAAGTCCAATGTATGGAATATTCTTTTTAAGGGTTGCTTATAAATGCCTTCCTTTTCTGCCAATTTCTGAACAAGTAATGACCCAAAACCTGAGGTTCAGACTAAAGGCAAATTTATCAACCCAAAGTTGTATTATTGTTATTTCATGATGCTTTGTATCATTTTTGTGTGTAAAAAGAAAATTCAACACTGATGTTTGTACAAAAAAAAAATTTAATCATAATAATTTTGTTTCTCATTAATTTAGCTTAAATTATTTTAGAAAATATTTGTGAAGTTTGTCTGATTGAGAAATGATGTTATTGGCACACATAATGTTGTTGATATTATTGACAATAAATTCACTGTAGAAGTGTTTGCTTTGTGGTTAATTCGGGAGCCACGGTGGCTTAGTGAGTTAGACGTCTGCTCGCTAACCTTGAAGGCCCAGGGTTCAATCCCGGCATAGGTCAAGATAATACCTTCCGATTTTTCAACCAGCTCTCTCCCTGTCAGGGATGCAGGTAAGACTCGCATGGAAAGAGTGTTTAACAGGCTTTGTACGTTAAAGATCCCTCAACAGTTGAAATTGAAAAAAGCTGTTCTGGCAAAATTTCCCTCATTGCACCCTGCATGGTGTAGCCTGTCTTCAGTAGCTCACATGGTGTAGAAAAGTAGGACGTAAAATTCCATTCATTTCATTTTCATTTGTGGTCAATTCTGTATCTAAAACCAGACCAGTTTATTTTTGATTCATGGATCCCCCTACCTCATTTTTTCAGAAATCAGAATGAAACAAAGTCAGCCCTGCTGGAAGAAAATTCAACCTTTATTCCCGATGTAAAAAACATCATCAGAATTCTCCATTATTAATTATTAACCGATCAAAATATACGATTTTTTATTAAACTAATACAGAGAAAATCCAGGTCAGTACTGGCTTTTGTAAGATTTATATTTTCCTCTTTGCCCTTCACACAAATTTGGTCTTTATGATTCTTTTCTTTTTTTCTCTTGCTTTTTTAGATTTTTCAAGAAAGAATTCTACAAGCAAGAAAATAAAGTCTATTCACTGTTTTATAAATCACACTTTGTCCATAATTGAAAATGTTTAATTCAGAGTAATAATTACTCCGTAATTGGGCGGTAACAGATGAAATTTAATAAAGAAAATTACAGAAGATGGTATGTAACACTATGTGAAACCTTCATATTGACATTATTGCACTCAATTCTCGGTCCTGTCCCCTAATATATTTCTTTAAAAATTGAATTGCCTTATAATCATAATATCATAATATTAAATGCATGGACATATTGAACAGTCCTATTGGTCAAAATATTCATAATTCTTAGAGTGAATTAAATCCATAGAAAATTTGAATAGACTAAGCCTTTCAAACACATTGGTCAAAATATTAATAATTCTTAAAATGAATTAATATGAATGTAAAAATTGAATATTCTTATAAACACATTGCTCAAAATATTAATAGTTTTTAAAATGAATCAAATGCATGGAAAATTTAAATAGATTCAACCTTATAATCACATTGTTAAAAATATTTATAATGCTTAAAATGAATTAAAAAATAGAATAGACTTAGCCTTATATTCACATTGTTAAAAATATTCACAATTCTAGAAGCAAGAAACCCATTCAAATACAAATTCGGAGATAAATTTTCAAAAATTCAGTGATATAGATTAAAAAAAAAAAAATAATAAAATTCTACAGTAATTCCAAGGTAAATGATTTATAGTGTCATTTGAGTACTTAGTCACACTACTTAAAATATTCATAATGCGAAGTCAAAAGCTTGACAATTTCTTCTGACATAAATTTCCAGACTTTGTCCTCTGAGGGTACTTTATCTGGATGAAAATGTATCACTGCTTTTTGGTACAACTTCTTAATCTCAGGTGATTCCGGCTGATCTGAAACTTTACCAAGGACATGCTTCTTATTTTTGGGTGGGTATTTTTTATATATGAATATAAGAAATTCAACTTTGCCCATATCTTTGAAATTTTTCTTTAATTCATCCAATTCTTCTTTCTTTTCCTTCAATATTTCTTCTCTTTGTCCTTTCTTCGCCTCTTCTTCTTTTCTTAAATCTTCTTGTTGATAATGGGAAAGAGCTTCGGTAGCTAAACAATACCATTCTGAAAAAATCACAAAATCTGAATATTCTGAATTCCAATTTTAGTGAACTTAGGCAAATGATATTCAGTTTTCTTAACCCATTTGATCTAGGACAAGGTTTAAGTTGAAAATATTTAAATCAACTGTTTTTGAGTTACTGTCCTTGATAAAGTTTTAGCTCTCAATTAGGCTTGTTGTAGTTTTTATCAAAAGTGCTTATTATTTAACCTAGTTGTTGACCATAATGCTTTCAATTTGACCTAGTTGTTATCCAAATGCTTATTTAACCTAATTGTCAATCATAATGCTTTCAATTTGACCTAGTTGTCTTTCATAATGCTTTTAATTTAACCTAGTTGTTATCCAAATACTTATTTGACCTATCGTCATGCATAATGCTTTCAATTACTTATTTGCCCTATTGTCATGCCTAATGCTTTCAATTTGACCTAGTTGTTATCCAAATACTTATTTAACCTAATTGTCAATCATAATGCTTTCAATTTGACCTAGTTGTCTTTCATAATGCTTTCAATTTGACCTAGTTGTTATCCAAATACTTATTTGACCTATTGTCATTCATATTACTTTCAATTTGACCTAGATGTCTTTCATAATGCTTTCAATTTAACCTAGTTGTCTTTCATAATGCTTTCAATTTAACCTAGTTGTCAATCATAATGCTTTCAATTTGACCTAGTTGTCTTTCATAATGCTTTCAATTTGACCTAGTTGTCTTTCATAATGCTTTCAATTTAACCTAGCTGTCTTTCATAATGCTTTCAATTTAACCTAGTTGTCTTTCATAATGCTTTCAATTTGACCTAGTTGTTATCCAAATACTTATTTAACCTAATTGTCAATCATAATGCTTTCAATTTAACCTAGTTGTCAATCATAATGCTTTCAATTTAACCTAGTTGTCTTTCATAATGCTTTCAATTTGACATAGTTGTCTTTCATAATGCTTTCAATTTAACCTAGTTGTCTTTCATAATGCTTTCAATTTGACATAGTTGTCAATCATAATGCTTTCAATTTGACCTAGTTGTTATCCAAATACTTATTTAACCTAGTTGTCAATCATAATGCTTTCAATTTAACCTAGTTGTCAATCATAATGCTTAACTTAACCTAGTTGTCTTTCATAATGCTTTCAATTTGACATAGTTGTCTTTCATAATGCTTTCAATTTAACCTAGCTGTCTTTTATAATGCTTTCAATTTGACATAGTTGTTATCCAAATACTTATTTAACCTAGTTGTCAATCATAATGCTTTTAATTTAACCTAGTTGTCAATCATAATGCTTTCAATTTGACCTAGTTGTCTTTCATAATGCTTTCAATTTGACCTAGTTGTTATCCAAATACTTATTTAACCTAATTGTCAATCATAATGCTTTCAATTTAACCTAGTTGTCAATCATAATGCTTTCAATTTAACCTAGTTGTCTTTCATAATGCTTTCAATTTGACATAGTTGTCTTTCATAATGCTTTCAATTTAACCTAGTTGTCTTTCATAATGCTTTCAATTTGACATAGTTGTCAATCATAATGCTTTCAATTTGACCTAGTTGTTATCCAAATACTTATTTAACCTAGTTGTCAATCATAATGCTTTCAATTTAACCTAGTTGTCAATCATAATGCTTAACTTAACCTAGTTGTCTTTCATAATGCTTTCAATTTGACATAGTTGTCTTTCATAATGCTTTCAATTTAACCTAGCTGTCTTTTATAATGCTTTCAATTTGACATAGTTGTTATCCAAATACTTATTTAACCTAGTTGTCAATCATAATGCTTTTAATTTAACCTAGTTGTCAATCATAATGCTTTCAATTTGACCTAGTTGTTATCCAAATATTTATTTAACCTAGATGTCAATCATAATGCTTTTAATTCAACCTAGTTGTCAATCATAATGCTTTCAATTTGACCTAGTTGTTATCCAAATACGTATTTAACCTAGTTGTCATTCATAATGCTTTCAATTTAACCTAGTTGTCTTTCATAATGCTTTCAATTTAACCTAGTTGCCTTTTATAATGCTTTCAATAATGCTTTCAATTTAACATAGTTACCAAAATGTAATACAACCTTTTTTTTGCTCTGGCCTTTAAATAGCTTCAATAGTTTTTGAATATAAACGTCATTGATTTTACCTTCCTGATGTATGGTTCTTGGTATCAGAGTATTGGCTAGTTCGATACATTTAGCGTAGTAGACTCTAGCTCTGTCATCTAGTTTTAAAACTTTTTGGTAAATCTTCCCCAATCTACAATGTGCGATTGCCTCCAACAGAACGTCTTTATCTCTTGTCAGTGTTATCGCTTGTCTGTACCAATCCAATACATCATATATCATGTCCATATTAAGGACTTCTTCTTCAGTCATGGCTGCCTGGAACATGTTATCCCCTGAAAGAAAAGTCAAGAGATGTATTTCATTTTGTGTTCATGGCTCTATTCAGACTTAATGTTTGATAACATGACGCTTGAATTATTAATTTGAAATATCAGTGAATCAAACAAGAAGCCCCTATCTTTAAAATGCAATGTTTCAACACAGCATGACATTTGGTGACAGCTTTGATCTTCAGAAGAAGCTTTTCTGTTACATTTAAAGGAAGTCGTATAAATATTTGCTTCACCATTTAAAAAAAATGTGATCATCTGCAATTAAACTAATGTTATTGAACCTACCAATATCTAGAGCCTGCATACTTTCAGCTACACATGTTTGAATGTAGATGTCTTCTTGGTGAAGCTCGAAGGTTCGTTTCATCTCTTCACTGTCAGAATATCTCAATCCTTCGGACACAGGATAATAACAATCCTTTAGATGGGACAATGCAACTTTAAAGTTCTTAGCTGCTAAATTAGTCAAAGCTAGTTCAAAAACCAGCAAGGTTATGGTGCTGAAAGCACTTGCTTTATTTTCCTTCCCCAAGACAAGAAGCGTTAATGATTCGAGTTGCCTGACCTTGTCCTCTACTTTATCGTCTGCCATACGATCTTCCATATTAATGAAGCACTCAAGAGAGAGTGTCTGTATTCCCATCAACCATTCGTTACTCTTTCCACGCCCGTATTCCCAGGCTTCGGAGAACTTTTCCAGGGCTTGTTTAAAATAAAAATCGATCAGATTGGCCTTCTCCTTTCTTGGATCGAGTATTCTGGCGAGTTTCAGGGAGGCTATTCCGGAATTCTTCTTGGCAGAGCACCGGTCTTCCATGTTATCACCTGCAGTATTTTCTGCTTTGTAGTAATATTGTAATGACTTCTCCAGGTTCTGTCTACATATTACCGGGGCCGTTCCTTCAACATTCTTCTTCAAAAAGGCATTTCCCTGTTCTCTCCAAGTTTTTGAAATCGATACCATCTTCAGAGGTATGATTTATAGTGCCTGAAAAAAAACATCGCATTTATATTCAATTTCAATCGTTTCCATCCATGGATTTTTGAGTTATATACCTTCCTTTCTCCAAAGATATAATCAAACTACGAAGTAGACCAAGTGGTGTAACTATGTTGTAGATTTGAATGGAATTGGATACCCTGCTCGTTGTATATCTGGCCATGCATATACAGATATTTAACAACTATTTATTTACTTACTACTTGTCTTAAAAGGGAAATATTAGTATAGGAAAACGTAAAATATTATGTAGCCTACCTTGTGTTAAATATATCGATATACGAGGAAATATTTAACTGATAAGACATGACCCGACTCTTATGAAACCTGTGCTACAATTACAATGGCGATTCTATGATTCAATAGGATAGATAGATAGATATTTATTGTATTGTTCGCCTATTTTGGGCAGCATACATCATGATACAAGATAATACACCATAATGATAGGTGATAGGGGGTTTCCTTGACAAGGGGGGTCACGGGTTATTCTTTCCCTATGTTAAATGATAAAAGAATTAAAAAAATTCTGTTAAGGGGGGGGGGGGGGGGGCAAAACCGGGCCAACCTCTCCTCTGCCCACTATGTCGGTCTCAGTGCCGGAGCTAAGCTGGGGGCATAATAAACGTATTTAAATAGAAAGATATAATGCCTCACCTGGAATTTCACCCAACTTTAAAACCAACTAGTTACGAAAATTTTAGACTGAGACTATATAAAGAAAATAATTTTCTTCGTATAATTACTTTTAATTTCAACTTCCCGGGAATAGGCTATATATAGATTTTATGAAAATCCATATTTAGCACATGATGTCATATTACATACATTGTATATGTAATGGTATATAAAAGATATTGAACTTTAACACAATAATAGTTATGAATCTTCTTTATTCCAGTAATATCCAGCGTTTACATACCTCGATCACAGATTAATTTTGGATAAAGTTCACTTATTTCTCTACTGCTGACTCGGCCAGTGCTTCTTTATGTTGAAACCGTCAACACAAAATCTGTCAGGGGCTTTGATTGTCTGTATATTTGCAAGCGTACAATACAAAAAATTCATTAACACAAATTATGTTAAGGTTATTAACAGAAGAGGAGTAAGTAATGCCTTGACAAAAATTTATATTTACCTAGTCAGAGTGCGATTGCCCAACAGTGCTATGCCTTGTGAAATGTGTTTGTATATTGGTTGATACCATTGATATGAATTGAATTTGATATGGATTTTTCTCTAAAAGCATTTGACTTCGAATTTCAGGGCCGTACTGAACATGATTGGTACTAATCTCCTGCAGGCTGCAATTCTATTTTTAATTTTGATGATCAATTTTTATCAAAGTAAGGGATCATTGTTGGGCGTATAATTCCACGAAAGCTATGTGTCATAATGTCAAGCAATTAGGCCTACCTGCGTCTAATACCTTGACTTCATTTTATTGTATCACGGAATGCAGCGTTTTTTATTGGATCGTTTTCTAACGAATAGGCCCTAGCCAATCAAAGCCCTCTACAAAAAGATTGTTAATATTATGACTTAAGCCTATGGTTCACAGACTTTCTGTCAATGTCTCTGAATGGCTGTATTCGATAGCGCACAGTCCAATCAAATTATTGTATTCACAAACTTCCGTGATAAAGTCTAATGAATTCAAGGTATTAAACAGCTTGAGATTGCGAAGATGCGACTTTAGTTCTCTTGTTTCACTTTGCCTTGAGATGATAATATCTTCCAGTTATGTAACTGGGTTGCACAAACCATTTCCCTTGCGTTTAAATAAATCAAATAGATCTAATTATTTGTTTTAAACGTGATTTGAGAACATTATTCTATATGGTGTAGATCCAGTATAACGTGTTATTTCAAATGGGACGAAGTGACAAGAGGGCGATTTGGCTTACTTCCGCCGGAAGCATGCCGTCATGGTTTAAAATTGACATTCATTGAATTCGTCTCATCTGAGAAGGAATATGAAAGACCTGTAACTGAAAAACAAAAGCAAACAAAATGTTAAAATCGAAACAAGATGTTGATAGACATGTGAGAAATATATTAGGCAGAATTAAAGATGAAAAAGAGGTAGACTATGACTTTTACTCTCCAGAGTTTTCCAGATATTATTATTATTGTATCTTCTCGATATTCGCGGTTTTTCTTTATGATTATTTTGTGGCATTTTGTTTTATTTCAATTTACATTTGAAATATAATTGTAGTTTTTTGTCATTTTCATCACAGCATGTTTACTACACAAGTCAATTATGCTTTAGCTGTTAACTCGTGTTATTATTATCAAGTTAAAATTATATAATGATAAATAGATATCAGTCGACCGGCAAAATCTCAATTAGGCCTAATGCTTCATCAAAAGCTATCCTATCGACAGAACTATAGAATGGCATCTTGATTTATTACTGATAAAAATCAGAGGAATTGACCCTGTTAATATTAATAATGATTTTTACTTTCTAGAAAACATCAAGAGGATATCAGATTGCAAGGCTGTACTATGAGATAAAAGATTTTGAATCTGCCAAAAGGTGTTGAATCTGTATTTTCTAAATTGGGTTTCTCAGTGCCTTTTTGCATTATTATACAACTTCATCTCTATATGTGGAAGCTAATGCCACCCATTTCAATTGTTACTTCATTCCCATTACCGGTATCTAGCTTGAGCCTTCTGTTTTTAAAAGATTAGTAGATAAAGTTACAGTGGGTACTACTAAAACCATATATTAAGATCATGTCAGAATTTTAATGCCATCCCAAAGATATTATTTCTTATTATATCTCGCACATTGAAAAGGATTTTACAGTTTTGACTGTTTTGTCAGCAGACTTGGTGCAATGTCTTGTAAAAAAAGTGAACAGTGCAAACAATATATGTATATGTATGTATATATTGCTCATTTGCATTAAGCTTGGTGTATAAGTACCCTTATAGGTACCGGTACAAGACAAAAGTGGAAGATCAAGAGAATGACATTTTGTCAACTATGAAGAAAATTAATTATGAGACATGTAATCAAAATTTGTAATATTTTCAATGTCCTCTAACTCTTTCTTTCTAGATATCTGACTAATTTCTTGAGTATGAGAGAAAATGTACCACAGGCACACAAGTTATTGGGACAAATTAACGAATCACTGAATCAGAATGAGTTGGCTATTCAGTCATTTAGAAGGTGAATATGTCTTTAAATTATTTGAAATTTGTATAAATATTATGAAATAAATTGGAAAACGTATATCAAATGAGTATCCGTGGTGAATATAAGTTTTTATCTTGATTGATTTACTTAGAATGGGCAGCATTTTCAAAACGTCTAGCTCAAACCAATACCTTATGAGCAAGAATTGATGTGTGTTCTGTTTTTTCAGATCACTGGAATTAGACAGCAATCAGCAAGATTTAGTCAATAAAGGTAAGCCATTGAATTCATTTTGAAAAGGTCATGGCTCTCAGTTTATGACATTATATTATTATTATTGATATGATGTTGTTAATTTGTTAATTAGTAATAATGGCCTAGAGAAAACAGTAAGTAGGAATTTTATTCAAAAGAGTGAAATGGGTAGCTGGATTTCAGTTTTGATGTTTGTAAACTGCAGCTTGTTTTCATATTCTTGACTAAAAAATGTTCATATATGCTTTCTAGTTCAAATTATACTCATGTTGTTTCAGTTGGCGGTATGTATTCTAATCCTAGACTTGAAAGGGTAAGTTTCTCTAATAAGTTCCTGTCAATTCTTGACAATATTGCTATCAGATCTTCTCAAAAGCTTTACAAATTACCAATATCTCTCAGAGATGTTAATCCCTGTGATCTTGGAACCATTGGATACAGAGAAATTCTATGGAATCTACAGTTTAGAATCAAATTTGGTATGTGAATGCAAAGACATGGACATTACGATTTTAAATCACAAGACTGGTTCATTCTTAAAATGTCTTGTAGATAGAGAGACTGGTTGTTCATAGCTATGTTTATTTTGTAGACTGAGAGACTGGTAGATAGAAGTGTAGATGATCACATGAAAACCATAAAACAATTGGTAGTGAGCAAACGAGCAGTGGAAGCATTCCATCTAATTAAAGAAATAGAAGGTGATCAACTATATAAAAATAGTTTAGAATGGTATGAATATCTGGTGGAGAATTTCACTGTAAGTAATATTATATATGTACAGAGTTTTATCAAACGAGATCAATTCTGATATTGATGAGTCTTTTGGCAAGGTTAAAAACAAATAGATGATGCTCTTTCGAAGTAGAAATTGAACTTTCCTTAAATGGAGATACGTGACTTGATAAGTAAAGTCAGTGTTCGCTGAATTGCGAATTGAAAAATTCCCAAAGATTTGTTGTGAGAATTAAACAGCCTTGCATACAGATAAGTATAATGAAAGCCCATTGAGGAGTATTTTTAGAACCTGACCTATGAAAGTGAGCATGCCGTCCTCTTTGAGACTTGGTATGATAATTTTTTGGGTGTATGGAACATGATTCACATGAATATAAATCCTCTTGGTTTTTGGAGGCTGAATTATTTACGTTTTAGGGTCTATTATATTGTGTATGTAGAATTTTTAACTGTAAATTCTTTTCTGTGTTATATATTTTACTGGGTCTCATGTACAGAATTATGAAATGCCATCTCACTTGAAGGATTTATTAGACTAGGACTTATATCTTGCTGTCGACACTGTTTCAGATACATGTACTAACACTGGGTGTGGAGGTTAGACCATCCAAACTGGGGACAAAGGCATATGAAGTAAGGAAACTGTCTGATCAGGAGCTAATTGTAGATATAATTATTATTTCAGGTGATAAAGAACAGTATTGATGAAGATGAAATGATTATATATATTTATCATTTATTATCTGTTCTACGATTAGCATATCTACAGTTGTCTAGTAAATATCTGGAAAAATGTAACAACACTATTCTCTTGTAAGTTCTTATTGGATCTCTTAGTTCATCTAAATTACAAGTTGTATTATATGGAGTTCTTTCTTTCATTTCCTAAAATTTGTAAATAGCTTAACTTTGTATTCTTTCAAAGGCCTTACATGTAACAAGTTTGTCTTGTCAGTAGAATTAACAATACAAGGGAAAGAAAGGGAAAGTTCATAAGTTTTTGACACCTTAGCATCAGTTAGCAATTACTTTAATCTCTTGTTGGACATGACATATAATGTCCACTGACAAATAAAGTATTGAAACAAAACAATAGTTGGGTTCAAAATGATCTATTGTTTTGCATTGAACTATTTTTCTGAATAACATATCTTAATTTCAGAATGGATGAATTGCTGTGGAAGGCTGAGAAGATTTGTGATAAGAAAAAGGAATGGAAATATTTAAGAGATGAGATTCAGGCACAATTATTCTATCTGGCTGGAACACTACTTCTTAAAAAAGCAGAAAAGGTTTGTCCCCTAATATCTATGACATAATTGGTAATAACTGCCTGTGACAAGGTTACTTACAGCCTGGTAGTGATGATATTTTTATTGAATTGCAGAAAAACTGGAAGTAAGTTTATACTTCTGAAAAGTGAACAGATAATTGAAAACGATGTGTTATTTAATAAGTTTTCTTTATGTGTTATTTAAAAAGTTATATTTATGAGTTATTTGATAAGTTATATTTATGTGTTATTTAAGTTTAATTTATGTTTATACTATAGAAATTACTGCCCTATAAAGATGTGGTACCTATATCTATGATGTGTTATTTAATCAGCTGTAGTTATCAATGCTTACAAGAACACATGGACTGGTATAATTTGATAAGTAAAGAACACAAGTTATTTGCTGATCTCTTCAGCTACAGCAACTATAGGTTATGCCAAGCAGGTAAGCTGTTTAAATGATGCACAGATTTTGTTTGTTAGATGTCAAAAAATTAGATGAAAAAAGGTGGAAAGTTTTTGTTAAAATCAGGCACTTTTTTTTATCAAATTCAGAAAAAAATTGAAAATGACATGTAAATGTGTGTATTAAGGTAATATTATAAATAATTTTCGCTACATTTCCATTGGAAAAGGGTAACACAATGTAGCGTACAAGGTAAATAAAAGAATTTCATCAGCAGAGACACCAGCACCAAATTTTTATATTTTTAAGATACTCAAATTGACCAAATAAAAGAAAAGCGGTCAATTTTCATTTTGTTGGAGTTCTGCTTAATAGTATGAATGTAAACTGATTTGGTTTTTTTCTTCGTTCTAGGACATATGCTACACATAATGGATAAGAGTCCATCAGTAAAACCTGTCCAACATTACATGCAGCAACTATGTGCCACACCTTGGAATAAAACTCTTCATGATCAGTTGTTTCCATGGATACGTAATGGTGAAAGTAGGGGCTCTTTTATATTGATGTCTACTGCTATTTATAACCGATCTCTCACTGTACCCAAAGTTGATGAAGTGGTTAAATATGATAAAGGTAAGCTTAAAACTGTTCTATCTTTCAGTTAGTGCTGAGTATTGCCAATCATTCCTCAATATGACACCAATGTGATAGCAGTACATGGTTCAGGGTATGATACGTGATTATGGCGATATTGAGTAATGGGATAAAACTTAACACTTTCCTCAAAGTTTCAAAATATATCAATTTATAGATTAGTTACCGTGATATTTGGTAATGTAGTTGATAGGAGAGGTTAACGTCCATTGTTTTATAAATAGTTACCAACAATTTCAGTCAAGTCAGTGAGGAAAGTTTGTGATTCCATTCACTAACTTGTTAAAAAGAATGATAGGTATTGTCATGTATCGATACATCAAGTATGGTGGTGTGTCGTATTGCAATTCATCGATTCACCGATATATCATGCCAGCATTATTTTTAGTATCCATTCCCAGTAATTGTTCTAATAAATGGCCACATCATTTTCCTGATAATTTATAAAGCTCTGAGTTACGTATCATCTATAGCACAGTCGGTTAGAGCGTTGATTTTTAACATGACGTCATTTGCTTGGTAAAATGGTGGTTGTGGGTTTAATTCTCGATGGACGTGTGTTAGTCCGATGACCTTGAATAAGTCATCTTAACTCATAATTCCAGTCAACCCAGCTGTAAATGGGTATGGATAATCTGGGTATGGTAGAATGTATAATGGGATCTCTGGCATACTCAATATTATGGCTGTTACTAGACTTAGACAGCCATAAGCTGAAGAATTGGTATTTGATCTATTTTTAGAAGCATCTCATTTGGTACAACACAAATTGTCTGAGATAGTATGGATATTGGTACAGAAATATTCCCCTGAAGAAATAGACTTTGATAGTAAGTAATGGTTTAAGTTATTAAAGTTTTATCTTTATGTTCATAAACCATAATGGATGGACCCCCCAAACAGAAAAATACAAAAAAAAAAAGTGGAGTGTCCCTAATTAAAGACAAATTTGTTGCCTAATATTCAATTTAGAAGGAGTTATTAATGCTTTTGATCAGCTGTTTAAGCTGAAATTACAGAACCTTGATGCATTTTAGCCAAATGTGTCCTTCGGATGTAAAAATGTAAAAAGCTAGTGTTTTGTTTAATGTAAATCTACTCTTACAATTCTTACAATGTTTATATTTTCTAGTTGAATTGAATTTCTCTAAACTACAATATGGTGAAACTGATTTAAAATCCAATGCTATAGAATCTCTATCACAGTTAGATATTGAGGTATTTATCTTTAATTAGTATTACTATTATAAACATGTATTAACATCATTTTCAACCAGGTCTACTCCCATTAATGATGCAGGTCAGAAGTGATGACATGTTCTTTGCTGTAAAGTGTGCACATTAAAGATTTTTTGATTTTTAATGTCAAAATGATGCTCCATTTTTAAATTTTCTTGATGAATGTTGTATGACTTTGATCATCTTCATCAGCTTATTCTGGCAATGATCTTATACTATTATATCCTAGTTACAGTGATAGAATTCAAGACCTTAGGACATCTTAGCGCTAAGATAGTTTTGAGAATAAATGGCCTGGACCAGAAAGTATAAAATTGAACCCTACTTAATTACATATTTATTGCAGGCTTTCCTGTATGCTACTGTAAGATGTTCAGCAATGAAGATAGCAGAAGATAAGTCTGGACGACATCCATTTCTCCTACCAGCTGCAGCAGACACCAGTTTCTGTAGTCCAGAACAAACAGAATGGTGGAAATTCGCATTCTGCTTCTACTCTAACAATAAATTGTAAGGGTTTTCTCATCTCCTTTTAATGACACTCTTTAAAGTTTTGTGCTGACTGAATTGTTGCTGCAGCCTCTTAATTTCTGAATTGTTGCTGCAGCCTCTTAATTTCTGAATTGTTGCTGCAGCCTCTTAATTTCTAAATTGTTGCTGCAGCCTCTTAATTTCTGAATTGTTGCTGCAGCCTCTTAATTTCTAAATTGTTGCTGCAGCTTCTTAATTTTTGAATTGTTGCTGCAGCCTCTTAATTTCTGAATTGTTGCTGCAGCCTCTTAATTTCTAAATTGTTGCTGCAGCCTCTTAATTTCTAAATTGTTGCTGCAGCCTCTTAATTTCTGAATTGTTGCTGCAGCCTCTTAATTTCTGAATTGTTGCTGCAGCCTCTTAATTTCTGAATTGTTGCTGCAGCCTCTTAATTTCTGAATTGTTGCTGCAGCCTCTTAATTTCTGAATTGTTTCTGATGCTCCTTTACTTCCGACTTTGTGTTAATGCATCTTAATTTCAATGATTTGATTGTATTTTAGGACTGATTTTGGTAAGATGAGAAGAACATTACAACATGGATTGGAAGTTATTAGACTAATTGGCTCGAATCATGGTTTATCAGTGGACATGTTATTATATCTTGCTAAATGTTTTGAAGCCAAGGTAGGTTATGGATTCTTTGAACAGCATGGATTAAAGTTAGCCATAATGTTCTAAAAAAAAGAGAATGCACAGGCTTGAGGGGGGCAATGGTTGGCCAAACAGTCTTACAATTGTAATAACATGATGCAGATCTCCCCCATTAGAGTAATTTGGTAGTCCAGACACCTTCCAAACAAAAAGGAAGGAAGGGTTTCATCTCCTGAATGTTGGAACAGAACCTCAGAGAGTGGATAAGGAGTTGGTCTTTTGATTAGAACACAATGGTTCATCTTAATTTAAATTTAATATTGGATGGGACCTTTTGATGTGTTTAATAAAAGTTAAAATCTGCTCTAGTGTTAGCTGTACAATAAGGTAATATCCAACTTTAATTGCAAACAATTTCATTTAATGCTCCACTGTGATTTCTGACATGTACATACATGTATTAATTTCCTTGTAATTTTCTATTGTATTTTATAGATGAATAAAGATGTAGAATACACAGCTAGTCAGTTGACATTAATTAAAGATAGAGCTTATCATTACTGGTATAATGTACTTACTTTACTAGAACAAATTGAGAGGTAAGAGTTTTCATCAGACTACATTTTTGAGAAGGGTTTTTCCTCAGTGAGAAAGATGCTTTGCTTGCAAATCAGCCACGCAACCAAATAAAATTCATAGAACTTGGATAACTCCTTTTACACAGATAATACTAAAATGTGTTTGACTTTCACTTGGTCAATAAGTGTATATATTCATTAGTTAAACTTACCAGGTGTCATGACTAAAGAATAGAATCTCTATATAAGATGATATATCTATTAAACTGAATTATTAGGCCTATTGAAGCATGTTTCAAAATTACTTCTTTGAATGAATTATTACTTTCGGTTTATGGATTTATTGGATTATAGAGGGATTCCTTTGTATTGTATGACACAATGTAAGTCCACTGATGGACAAATACTCAATTTGGCCAAGTTAAAAGATTTCACTTTTTTGGTCATCCTTAGAGTTAGTATACCTTTAACAAAATCATATAAATTGTTGAACACTGTGAGAAAAATCACAAAAGATATGACTTTAAAGACTAAAAGTTTCCTGCCTGCATTCCTTATTTGAATAATTTTCTTGCAGTAATGGAGGTAATGTTCCAGTAGTGTCATCTAAACATCTCTTCCCTGAAGTTGATACTCATAAAATATTAGATCCTAATACCATGCTGACATTGAAAGAAGAAATTAAACTGGCTATTGGTAAACGTCTACAAGAAGATGGTGTTTATGACATGGCGCTAGATTATTATAGGTCTATAGCATTACCCTGGGCTTCTTTTTATTCTTCTGAGGTATGTACAGGTATCAGTTTTCAGGGAAGGGAAAATTTGACTTATCCCAGATGAAGTCATGAAACATATCCAAGAAGGTCTAATTGTGGTAAGAGGAGCATGTGAAATTCTGGTGACCTGGAATAAGTCATCTTACTTCATTACTTCATTGACTCAGCTGTAAATGAATACAGATGATCCAGGAAAGATCAATGCCGAAAGGACTATCCTGGCCATAACATTGGATTTGGTGATGTAATGATGAGTTGAGAGTTGGTTTTTGAATTTGCCAAACTGTCTTAGTAGTCTACACAGAATCTAATTTTGCAGTCCTTTTTTGCAACATTTTGAATTGATAAACTGTAATGTTTAATGTTCAAAGTATTTAGCATTATGGGATGATATCTATATTATACGGAGCCCCTGAGAAGCAATTTTCAGTACTTTTATAAAATATTTCGTTTAAACGAATTAATCTTTTTGTTAAAACGAAATATTTTATAAAAGTATGGAAAATTGCGCCTGAGGGGCTCCGTAATATTGTGCATTGGGGGATGATATCTGTATTCTGGGATGATATTTATATTCTGTATTCTGGGATGATATTTATATTCTGTATTCTGGGATGATATCTGTATTCTAGGATGATATCTATATTCTGTATTCTGGGATGATATTTATATTCTGTATTCTGGGATGATACCTATATTCTGTATTCTGGGATGATATCTATATTCTGTATTCTGGGATGATATTTATATTCTGTATTCTGGGATGATATCTATATTCTGTATTCTGGGATGATATCTATATTCTGTATTCTGGGATGATATCTATATTCTGTATTCTGGGATGATATCTATATTCTGTATTCTGGGATGATATCTATATTCTGTATTCTGGGATGATATTTATATTCTGTATTCTGGGATGATATCTATATTCTGTATTCTGGGATGATATCTATATTCTGTATTCTGGGATGATATTTATATTCTGTATTCTGGGATGATATCTATATTCTGTATTCTGGGATGATATCTATATTCTGTATTCTGGGATGATATCTATATTCTGTATTCTGGGATGATATTTATATTCTGGGATAATATCTATATTCTGTATTCTGGGATGATATTTGTATTCTGGGATGATATCTGTATTCTTCTGGGATGATATCTATATTCTGTATTCTGGGATGATATTTATATTGTGGGATGATATCTATATTCTGGGATGATATCTGTATTCTGGGATGATATTTATATTGTGGGATGATATCTGTATTCTGGGATGATATCTGTATTCTGGGATGATATTTATATTGGGGGATGATATCTATATTCTGTATTCTGGGATGATATCTATATTCTGTATTCTAGGATGATATTTATATTGTGGGATGATATCTATATTCTGTATTGCAGGTCTACAGATTGATGGGTGAAAGGGAAGCAGAACTCAGTGATCAAAGGAAGATTTATCTGGAAAAATCTTTAAGCTGTCTACATTTAACATTAGACAGATTACAAGGCGATAAACATCATGTAAGTATACTGTATCCTCCAATTACTCCCTTAATATCTAGTCTAATCATTCGGATGGGACAATAAATGGAGGCTCTGTGTGCTACAGGATGTGTATGTTAAAGATCCCTCAATAAGTGGAAATTAAAAAAGAGCAGGCTAATGCGGCCGTCCTGACAAAATTACCCTCCTCAATGCATACTGCATGGCCTTGCCCGTCTCCATTAGCCCACATGGTACAGAAAATTTTCTGCCAAAATCAGGTGCCAATTTGACATCTGAGGTCATCAGAAATTGAACCATTTTTTTTTTATGTATTTTACAGGAACTCAATCAGTTAATTTATCCTTATATAAAAGACATTGAGAAATTGATCAGACAGTCAGAAAATGGTAAGTTTACAGACAATTTCAAATTCACCGTCTGTTTGACCAATCATTCCTTAGTCTCAGAAACAGAAATTTTTAAGCTCAGCTAATCAGTATAAGTGTTCACAGCTTTCAAATCCTTGTTGCCCATATTGTCCCCTCACCAATACAGCCTTCACTTATTTCTTCTCTTCCCTTCTTGCAAAAAAGCAAAAAAAATGGTGAAATGGAAAAAGGACACAGCATACAAGGGAGGGAATGAGAATAGATTGATGGTTAAGAAGGGAATAAGGCTGCCTGAAAAAAAATTGAATATCCGATATTAAAGATGAGTTCCCCTATTTTCATTTACGAAAATGAAAATGCTAATACTTATACGAATAGAAAGTAGAGGTGTTCTAATGACTTGGAAAAATACCAGTTTGTCTCACATGTCCATAATTAATCCATAATTATCTAAATTAGAAGAGAATTACCAGCAGAATTCCAATGAGTGACAGATCAAGAAAGGTTTTTTTTTGTTTGTCCAGACTGTACATACATGAACATTTATGATTGGTTGAAACTCTTATTATATGCAATAATAACATAATGATATGATTAAGAATACATGATAATTCGATAGAAACATCAATTAATCAAATAGTTGGCTTAATTTGTACTAAAAACTAAGAAAACCCGTCTTTAAAACAAAACTTGAATCATGTGGTTACTCAAGAGTTTCACGCTATGCAAGTTCGGACAACTGACCTATTTTCAGCCTGCATCCCTACTGAAGATGGACATGTGGAATGTCTATGATGTCAGTATTTTTAGACAAGAATATACAACTGAATGTAAGAATATTATGTCTATTACAGAATGGGAAGAAGATGCTAGTAATAATAGTAGATATCATACACCACAAGGTAAAGTGGATGTAGATCATTACCAACAAAATACATCAACACCTAGTAGTAAATCTTCTTCTTCAGCTAGACGGCTAAATTTAACACCACAGGTACTTGAAACTGACTGTTTTTACTTTTTGTTTCTAAAACGTCCCAAGCTTTATTCATGTATTTTGTAATCTTTATTGTGTGTGATCTGTTATTAGGTCCTGTCCATTCAAAATATGCTGAAAGCATCCATCAACTCAATTTGAGCTTCTGATTAGAAAGGCAGAAAGCATGATTCAAGACTTAAGCAAATCAAATTATTTTAAGAAGAAATTTAAAATTTGATGAAATTACAAATGGCCAACTTTTTGTTAACATAAAATAGTGACTAGCTCCGTGTTGTTACCGGAAGTTGTCAAGGAACAAAAGGAGAACTTCCGCTCTGGCCCGGCAGTCGATGAACATGTAGTAGTCGTGTAAGCATGGTCTGACGGCCATCTTGTTATCATCTTTTCATTCATCTGTATGTTTATGTTTGTGATGTCCCCCCGGGTTTTTTATGTATTGTCTATCATTATATGTGTCTTCATCATAATAAATATCGTCAACCATACATGACTTTTCACTTTTAAAGTATCCAGAAAGCCAGAAGGATGTATCCGTCCCTTTATTAAGTCTAATGGATAGATGAGCTTTTGATTTGTCCATGGAATTTGATAATTCAGGTGGCTGAGAAGAAACACCTTCAACCTAGTCCAGAAAGATTAGATTCTCAGATACGTCAACTATCTCACTACCAGGAATCCATATTGAAAGTTGTTCTACGCAGAAATGAGGAGTTGGCCAAGAGTAATGTTGATCTAGCAGCTAGTCTGAAAGAATGTATGGAGACTATCAAAGAATTGAAGGTAGGTTTATGTGGTTATGTTAAGATAAAGATTTATTTATGGTTTGTGATTTTCTTATGTTACAACTCTGAAACAGAAAATGTTGAAAAAAAAAGGCCACTTACTTTATTTGTGAAAATTTACAGATTTATTAAATGACCCATTTTAACGCAATCGTAAAATACCATAGGCTGAATTGCTTGGCTACTTTTTTCTCTGATAAGAGACAGGCTGTGTTATTTCTTTTTCAGTTTGAAATGTACCATCGTTCTGCACTGTTTGGTGGAGGAATGAATGCATCCAGATCCTACATAGGTGTGCAGTCTCCATACAAAGCTGATATGTTACCCCACGACATGATGAGTCCCGCTTCTGCACCTTTCATGGACTCTCCCAAACCACCAGCACATCTCTTACCATCACAGATGCCAAAAGGTGATCGAATGTCTCAAATGTATCAATACAGTAATGTGATGGATCCCAATTCATGTCAAATGAACATGCCCAATCGAAGAATGCAGCAACAGTATGGTAGTATGCCAGACATGGAATCCAATTATCCAGGAAATCAGTACTTTTCTCCTGTAAGTCACGACAATTCAACATTCTCTCAACTTCCTGGACCTGGATATTTCTCTCCTATAAAGTGTGCTTCTAAAGTTCCTCAGCCAGAGCCTGTACAAGCACCAGTGGTTCCACACCAGTCTCAAAATTTACCAGATACATCCAGTCCTTTCCAGGTCCTGTTCTGTGGAAGGATCTCTTATGGAAACAATTCCAATGTTATTCTGAAGATAATCTCTATTGGAAACCTCACTCAAGTAATCCTGGAACCAACTCTTGGTGTGGGAGAGATTGAAAGCTATGATGTAAGAAATTTAACCATGCACACATCATTGAGTCCATTGATGGTCATTTGCAAACATAAATCTACTGGATTTGAGAAGATTTTACATTTGACATTCGAAACTATGGATAGGTCTCATGTTTTCACTCAAATATTGTCTCAATTTTTGCCACCAGTGCAACATGCTGAATTTCCATCTACTGTCCAAGCATCTCCCAAGAATTCAAGCCTTCCCAGTTTTAGTGGCTTTTCGAATCCTGTTGACAAACCAGAGCCAGTACAACAAACTCCCAACTCTCCACAAGTTCCAGAAAGTCCAAAGGCCACAGAACATAATACATCAGCTGAGGAATATGAGCCCAATGTAACTTTTGAGCCAGTGATTGCGCTACCAGAATTAGTACCAGTGAGAACTGGAGAAGAAGGAGAAGCTGTGATCTACAGTGATCGTGGTAAACTCTTCAGATATGACTTAGCTGCTAAATCTTGGAAGGAGAGAGGTGTAGGAGAATTTAAAATTTTGAAAAATGATACAGATTCTTATAGGTTCCTAATGCGCAGAGACCAAGTTCTGAAAATATGTGCTAATCACGTTTTGACCAAGGATATGAATTTGACAACTCTATCAAACTCTGATAAGGCTTGGTGTTGGTCTGCTGATGATTTTGCTGATGAAGAAGTTAAACATGAAAAATTTGCACTCAAATTTAAAACACCAGAAGCTGCACAAAATTTTAAAGCAGAGTTTGAAAAGTGTCAATCTCTACTGCCAGAAACAAAAACTGGTAACTCACCTGTTGTAAAGGAAACAAAACCAACTCCTGGAATACCAGTAAAAGACTCCAGTGAATCAACTAATTCAGCTTCTAGCTCATCTCAAGCAGCTGTCTTTGGTAAACCTGCTTTTGGAGGCTCTGCTACTTTTGGCTCCAAACCACCTGCCTTTGGATCCACTGGTACTAGTGCTTTTGGATCAAGTTTAGTGAAACCACCAACTTTTGGAACAGCAGCACATGATTCAAATAAAAAAGAAAGTCCATTTTCAGGATTTTCACTAACCCCTAAAACACCACCAAAGAAAGATACCTGTGAACCAGCTAAGACTGCAAGCCCATTTGCAGGATTCAGTTTCAACAATAAAGAACCAACTTCAGATGCATCTAAAAAATCACCACTTAAACCACCAGTTCTTGAAACTAACAAATCAAAACCTACTGAAAATAAACAACCATCTTTATCTCAATTGTTTAAACCTGATCCTGGTAGCTGGGAATGTTCTGGCTGTTTAGTTTCCAATAAGAGCAACGTCAGGAAATGTCTGGCTTGTAATACACTCAAACCTGGAGAGAAGCCTGAACCTGCAGTTATGTCTACAGAGGGCGGAGCCTCAACGAAATTTTCATTCGGTGCCAGTGGAGGATTTTCATTTACTTCAACAGAAAAGAAGAATGATACTAATACACAAAAGTCTGGGGGATTCGTTTTTGGGTCAAGTAGTGCCTTCACAACTCCCTCACAACCAGCTGCATCAGGTATTCCTGTATTTGGGACTCAAAAACAACCAGAAAATACTGCAGTTTCCAAAGAAGCAAAGCAGCCAACATCAGTCAAGTCTTTATTGGAATCTGAGAGTTGTGAAGCATCAAAAGAATTTGAGGCAGAGTATGGAAATGATAAGAATGTTGATAAAACTGTACCACTTTCAGAACTCTTTAAGAATAAGAATGACACATGGCAATGTACTGGTTGTCTTTGTAGTGTGAAGACCTCTTTAAAACAATGTCCAGCTTGTATGACCATGAAACCAGGAGAATTGCCTGATTCTGTCCCAACCTCAACTGCTGAATCTGTAAAATTTAGCTTTGCTTCAGGTGGCGGATTTTCATTTTCATCCAAACCTGAAACAAGTGCGCCAAAGGAAAGTGGAAGTGGATTTACCTTTGGCAGTCAGTCAGTTGCAGCTCCTAAAGAAACAGGATTTTCATTTGGATCCAAACCTGCATCAAATGTGACTTCCACAGTGCCTGAAAAAGATGCCTCTGGTGCGTTCTCATTTGGAACAAAACCACCAGATTCAAGCACACCAAAGAGTACTGGATTTTCTTTTGGAACCAAACCAGCTGCTGACTCTACGACAGATAACACTGGGTTTGCTTTTGGAACTCCATCTGCCCCTGGGACAAATAAACCTGGAGCATTTAGCTTCAATCCAGTGCCACCTACAACATCAAAGACACCAGTACCAACAGATGGATCCAAAGGGTTCACGTTTACACCCCAGTCAACTCCAAAAGCAACTAGTCAGGGTACCTCAAACCCCTTTACTGCAGGTTCAACTCCTGGATTTACCTTTAGTATGACACCTACTAAACCAGCTTCAGGACAGACATCAACAACCAAATCCCCAGTCAATAAACCTAATACTTCCAACAATGATGATTACTATGTCAATAGTGAAGAAGATGATTCCCATATAGTTTTTGAGCCTATCATTCCATTACCTGACAAAGTTGAAGTCAAGACTATGGAAGAAGATGAAGATGTTCTTTTTAATTATCGATCCAAGCTCTTCAGATTTGTTAATGGCGAGTGGAAAGAGAAAGGTCTCGGAAATATCAAAATTCTGGAACATAGAGAAACCAAGAAAAGACGTATCGTGATGAGAAGAGATCAAGTCCATAAAGTGTGTTGTAATCATTTACTAACTTCAGACATGGTCATCAAAGATATGCCTAAATCAGACGGCAAGGCTTTGGTGTGGTTTGCTCACGATTTCTCAGATGAAGAAGAAAAGGTTGAACAATTGTCTGCTAAATTTAAAACAGCTGAAATTGCTTCCCAATTCCAAGAATTATTTGAAGAATCTGTCAAGAAAGCTAAAGAAGGTGGGAACCAAGGTAAGTGGTCTTCAAAAGTCTTTTGGCAAAGTATTTACCTCGAAACTCAAGTCAGGTGCTGATCCTTTCTTATCAGCTTTGGGTATGAGTTCATATCGGCTAGTTGCAGTGCACTGTTGAATAACTTTCCATTACTAAATTTAGTACGGAAATGATGACACCTGGGGCTTTCCCAGTGTAATTTGTAGCACAATGGGATGAATTTTAAAGATGAGTTCCCCTTATTTTCATTTATTAAAATGAAAATGCTTATACTAATATGAATAGAAAGTAGAGGTGTTCTAATGACTTGGAAAAATACCAGTTTGTTTCACATGTCCATAATTAATTCATAATTAGCTAAATTAGAAGGGAATTACCCATAGAATTCCAATGTGTGACATCAAGAAAGGTTAAAAAGTCTTTTTTTTTGTTTATCCAGACTGTTCATATATGGACATTTATGATTGGTTAAAATTATATTAATTCTATGCAATAAGAACATAATGAAATGATTAAAATACATAAGTCATAAGAAACACCACTTAATCGAATAGTTTGCTTTAAATATGATGGATGCTTTCAATTGATATATTACAGATACATCTCAACATACTTCTACTTTGGAGGAAAGTGCTGATGATAAAGATGATGATGACGTTATATATGAAGATATTGAATATGCAACTCCAGAAGAAGTACAGTTGGCCAGAAAATACCAACTACCTGACCATTTCTATCTTTATACCAGAAAACCTCCTTGTCCTGGTTGCCGTGGTTGCGAGGATGAAGCTTCTGTTCAGAAACAAGGTATTACAATTTATGTGGATTTTGAGGCTTCTTAATTGAAAAATAAATTTATTATTTCATTTAATGCTAATTGTTGTCATGCATAATGAAAATATGACTTATCTTACAGATCCTACCAAGAAAGTATCAAAGATCCCAGTTTCTTCAAAAACCTCTGAACCCAAATCATCACCACAACCACAAGCAGCAGATAAACCTGCGCCATCATTGTTTGGGTTTGGATCTGCCACTGCTGCACCAAGTGCACCTAGTTTTGGTTCACTGGCATCTAACCAAACGTCAGTAGTTAGTCCATTTAGTAAAGGTAAGATTTGAAGCATTTTTTTCTGCAGGTTTTTGTGCATTTACACTCTGTGGAAAATACTTGACATAAAATATTCCTTGGTTGGAAGTGAAATCAAAAATTAGTTGATGATTGACAAAATGAAATTTATTTTCTGTTTTCCAGATTTAGCTAATAAAGATCTAAGTTCTGTAACATTTCAAGGTGGTGATACAACATTTTCTACTTTAGCTGCATCTGCTGGAGATAATACCTTTAATCAAATGAAAAGTATGGTGGGAATTCTGTAAATCTTCATTTAATGTAGCCTATCATTGTGATCTATAATCCCCAAGTCGCTTATACATACAAATTTATGCTGATTGGATGTATGCTAAAGAGAGACCACATGTTCATACTTGAAATATAGGAATGGTCTTTAAAGATCTCGTAGGGCGAAGGTCCCTATGTGATTTTGCGATCAGTTACGTCATCAAACACATAGTTTAAGTGGAATGGCAGGAACCACAGACTTCTGATTGAAATTTGTCATGCTGCAAATTGATGTCATCAGTGTTCAATATACACAAACATTTACAATCCCTTTAAAATTTTAGGTAGCAAATCGTTTAAATGGAGTGGAGCTGGTTCTAAGCTATTTGGTGGTGGTGGTGGTGGTGGTAATGATAGTACAGACCAGGCTGAGGAATCCACGGATGAAGTCAAGAATGAAGACATACATTTTGAGCCTGTTATTCCTCTACCAGATTTAGTGGAAGTGGTCACTGGTAGGTAGACACTATTACAGTAATATCACGGCACACTAAATCAAATATGTCTTCATACTGAACTGAAGGGGGTGACTTCTATTTATCACGCTGGGTTTGAATTAATAAGATAAATAACTTCATTCAAGTTACCATCTTGTTTGCGTGCCATCTCATCCGCTCTTCCATGGGAGATAACTCTCAATACAGACTTGATATTTTAAGACCACTTTGGCATTAGTGGACTGTAAGAGGCAAAGTTCTCTAAGGTAAATTGAACAACTAATTTTAACCAAGAAACAAAAAGTCTTTTCCATGCCATCATATCACCTAGCTATGCATTCGCCATGCTGAATAACATGCCTTTTAATTGTTCTTCGGGAGCTGTGGTGGCTCAGTGAGTTAGATGCTTGCTCGCTAACCTGAAGGGCCAGGGTTAAATCCTGGCATAGGTCGAGATAATACCTTTGGATTTTTCAACCCAGTTTCCCCCTGTCAGTGATGCAGGTAAAAGGGGCTGACATGGAAAAAGTGTCTAGTCGTTCGGATGGGACAAAAAACCCAGGCCCATCTTCATTATCCCACAAGGTGAAGACAAGTAGAATGTAAATCTCCAGTCATTTCATTTTCATTTTTCTTCTTAATTTCTAACAAGCACACTCTCATGTCCGAAGGTGTTCATTCAAATAAATGCTTTAACAGTGTATGGTGATATTTTATAGGAGAAGAAGATTGGGAGTCAATATTCACTCAAAGATCTAAGTTGTTCCGTTTTGATAAAGATACATCACAATGGAAAGAAAGAGGCACTGGTGAAATCAAAATAATGAAGTTTCAAGATAAAGGTTTGTTTCTAAGTATCGAAATTAACTTCTTACAGAGCACATCATCTTACTATCATCTTCACAATGTCAAGCTATTACGACCTTCAGCTTATACCTTGACTTCAATAGCCGCCTTTCTTGTGTCACCGAATGCAGCGATTTTATTGGATTTTACACCAGCAAATACAGCCAATCAAAGCCCTTGACAAAAAGATTGTTAGCAATATGGCTTAGTTTGTATAGACTTTATGTTGAGGCATCTGATTAGCTAGAATATAATCCAATCAAATCATTATCATTTTGTATCATCATTTTATACTCATGTATCTTAGTTTTCTGTTTTACCCTGATCACTTTTTAGCATTGATTCATGGTGTTTTCAAATCCAAACAATCCTTCATCACCATAAATTTCCTTTTTGAAACCAGCAATGATAAAAAATTTTGCCTATACTTTCAGAGCAATACAGAGTGTTATTTAGAAGAGAACAAGTGTTAAAAGTGGTCTGTAATCATATGATTGGACCTCATATTGAAATGACACCAATGAATTCATCAGAAAAAGCCTGGTGTTGGGTAGCTGAAGATTTTAGTGATGAAGAAGGCAAGATTGAAAAGTTTGCTGTTAGATTTAAGGTAAGTTTTGTTGACTTAAAATAAAGTTTCTTTCTTCAGTTAGACGTAAAAGGTGTGAACTTCCAACATCAGTAAATATTTTGAAAATCAGTGCCCAGTAAAGGAAACATGTTAACTGGAAGTTTGTTGTTTTGACACTGCCAGACTATTTTTTATACGCCAACATCTCTCTATGTGGACGTATATTGCCGGCACTCCTGTCCGTCCGTCAACATTTGCTTATAAACGCTCTAAAAACTAGATTTTTTGATGGAATCAAATGAAATTCGGTATGTGAATACATATTAAGAAAACGAAGATCAAGTTTGAATTTGATCTATTTTCGACTGTTAGAAGCAGAGTTATTGCCCTTGCCCTAAAATCTTGAATATTTACCACCTGCATGCTGTGGTGGGCGTATATGGCTGTGGTCCACTATCTTGTCAATGACGCTCTATAGACTGGAAGTGGAGACTATGAAACATATTTCTTACTGTGATTCTCACATCTGTTTTGACTTAACTGTTATTTTTGTTTTTGGGAAGTTTTCATCACCAATGAAGAATATTTCATCAATAAAAGATCTGAGTTAAAAAAGATTTTGTGAAGATTTTGCCCCTGGCACTTCTCCTTTAAACCTTTTTTTCAAATATATTTCCAGACAATGGAAATATCCCAGAAATTTAAAGAAGTATTTGATAAGGTTATATTAGCTCTTCAAATGAAAGGTGGGTATTATAACAATAGTGCTAATTAGGCCTACTTATATCAGTGCACCTTCACAATGTCAAGCTATTACCAACTGTGCCTTATACCTTGACTGCAATAGTCACTTTCGTTGTATCACGGAAGTTTGTAAGCTATAAAATACGGTCCTTCAGGACCCGCATCATAAAGTATGTAAATCTTACGCTGTAATGTTGACACTCGTTATGACAAGAGCTCTGATTGGCTGTATTCGCTAGGCTACAGTCCAATCAAATCTCTAGATTTTCGTGTTACAAGAAAAGAGCCGTTCTCCAGTCACCTAAAGTGTAGATGTTGTCAAGGACAAGAAGAAATTTTATGCTCTCAAATTGATGCTTAACTCCATTGTAGAAATATTTTTGATAGTTTAAATGACTAGATACTTGTTTTATTTTTTTTAATTTCATGTTTAGTATAGTTTTCAGTAAATGTTTACTTTGTTAAAAGTGAAATTAGTGTATGTTATGAGTATATTGGTATAAATTTAATAGACATTTTATCATAAACAATAACTGGATATCTGCGAAAAATTAGAGAGATTTTTTTTATGTGTATTGGAGACACTGATAGCATAATTTGCACCATTCCAATTTTCAGTCAGATATCTGTGGTTCCTGCAATTCCACTTAATATAAGAGTTTGATGATGTCACTAATTGCAAAATATGCTCTATCACATAAGGCTCTCGTGATTAGAGATGTCATCAAACACTTATTTTAGGTGATTGCAGGTACCACAGACGCCTGACCAAAAATTGGAATGTTGCAAATTGATGCTATCAGTGTCTCCAATACACTTAAAAAATAATTTAGAAATTACAATCCCTTGAAGTATATCCAGATATTTAAAATCACATGTGATTCTTAAAAATTTTTTATCTAGATCAATCATTAGAAGATAAGAATGAGAATAATGTCACTGAAGAAGATAATGATGATGTATTATTTGATAAAAGAGCAACTCTTTTTACTCTAGATGGAGAGCAGTGGACGGTTAGTTTAAAAATTTGCATTTTACAGCTCATAACTTTAAACAAATTTGATAAGAAACAATGTAAAATATAAATGGCCTTTTACATTTTTGTACTGTAGAAAAAGCTGATGCTTATTTGATGTTTATGGAGATTTAGAATGGGAAATCTGAATGTTTCTTTGTTAATTATATTTGGTTTAGGAGATCTGATAGTTTTATTGTATTTTATAGAAATTTTGTTTAGGAAATCTGACAATAATTTTATATTTCATAGAAATTTTGTTTAGGAAATCTGACAATAATTTTATATTTTTAGAAATTTGGTTTAGAAAATCTGACAATAATTTTATATATTATAGAAATTTGGTTTTAGGAAATCTGACAATAATTTTATATTTTATAGAAATTTGGTTTAGGAAATCTGACAATAATTTTATAGAAATTTGGTTTGGGAAATCTGACAATAATTTTGTATTTTATAGAAATTTGGTTTAGGAAATCTGACAATAATTTTATATTTTATAGAAATTTGGTTTAGAAAATCTGACAATAATTTTGTATTTTATAGAAATTTGGTTTAGGAAATCTGACAATAATTTTATATTTTATAGAAATTTGGTTTAGAAAATCTGACAATAATTTTGTATTTTATAGAAATTTGGTTTAGGAAATCTAAAAGTTCTTAAAGATGAGGATGTCAGTGGAAATAGTGTAGAGTTTGTGGATGATGAAGGACAAGTTGGATGCCAACATATCATCTGTGAAGAATACACTATAGAATTGTAAGTACCATTCCTTTATCTCTCTGTTCTCAAGACATACATTGGTGCCAACCACTTCTTGGATTAGCCATTATAAACAGTATGGTCCTCTGGTCCTTTTGTTCTTCAGATAGGGGATTTTCAGCCTCCCCAGTCTTAAGTTTGCAGGCACAATTGAAAAATATTTTGGTTGATGCACTGGCATTGATTTCCACTTACGATAATTTTTCTCAGGCCCTACAAAAGAAATTTGGTTAGACTGTCTAACTGATTCAGCCCAAAAGTTTAAAAAAAAAAAAACCACCTGAAATTTGGTCCGAAAGAAAATTCACTAAAATTTAGGGAGCTGAAATACCCTGGATATTATATTACAGTGGAGCCGCGTTTATGTATATGAATTTAAAGTAACAGTAAAAATTGAATGTTGAATTATTTAACAGAGAAAGAAGTAAGAAATACTGTATCTGGTTGGCTGTAGACTTTTCAAGAAAACAAAAGAAAGAAATGAAATTTAAAGCCCTGTTCAGTTCACCTAGTTCTGCTGAGGAATTTTTCAATAAATTTACAGATGTAAGTTAGCTTGAAATACATTGTGAAAATTTGTTAACAAATTGCTTTTGTTCAAATAACTGAAAATAGACCTTATTCACGCCTTGTTTTCTGAGGTACTGAAAGCAAGGTTCATAACACAAATTATGTGACATCACTGAACACCCTATCAACAGTGAGAAAATGGGCTTAAAACTGCCTTTAAGAAATATGTGAAGGTAAAATTCATGTAAAAGTATCATTAAATAGCTTCATCAATTCCAAATTTAATGATGTAAAAAATAATTAGTTTCAAGTTAGTGGGATTCAAGAAGGAGGCTTTAAAGACGTTAAGGTGGTGATTATATACAGTGACATATCGTTACCTTTGCAAGGTTTGCGTTATGGGCCTCGTTCTGGATTCAATATATCTGATGTGTGGATAATGTCTATTATATTTAAAGACAAGCTGTTGCCAAGTCAGATAGAGTGTTCAAATGAAATCATTTGCTTGGTTATATAGAATTAATGATGGTTGTGGGTTCTAATTTAATCTCTAATCACCCAGAATATATTATTGCAAACATGTGATCACGTAAGGTAAAATTCAAATGACACAAAAGCAAGTTTCTTTCGAACTGTTCCATCATGTGAAAAGGAAAAGATTGAAGCCTGACATATGAATCAAGCTGAATGGATTGTATTTTATTATATCTTTTGCCAATCTTGCGGGGTCAAATTGGGTCTTCTACTAGGAATGTATGAAAATGTCTAGTTGATCATTTTAACTTTCAAACGTATATGATTCTGGATACACATGAATTTGTGTCAAATTTCGACAATGAGCATTGAACACTATTACTGATTAGCTTAGCTAAAAAATTCCAGTTTCTGAGACTAAGGTATGATTGGTCAAATAGATGGTGAACCTGTCCCTTTAATGGATTGTTTTTTTGTTAAACAATAACAATTTATTTTCAGAGTTTAAAGTTAGCCAGTGATTCGAGATTAACCCAGTTAGATGTTAATGATGATGAAGAAGATTATAATTAGAGTTCAAAACTAATGGTTTTCATCATAAAAATTAGACTTCAGTCTTTCGTTTGTTTTTAAAAGTATATATCATATAATTGTGAATATAATGCGCACCTCTTTAAATGTCTTTTGCATTATTGTTCTTGGTTACTGTTAAAAAAACAATCACTTTCAGTTAGCCATTCTACACTATGTTAATGTTTATTTTGGATTTGGTGACTGTACTTCAAAGGCCACTGATGTTTGAATTTTAGGAATGGTGGTGCACTCAAGTAACCAAAATCTGCTTTCTTGATGTAAGGTTGTCATTGTTGGTCAAGCTTTATGGCTTTGTTACAATAACAATCGAGTTTCAAAACAACTGATTATTTACAACGTTCTGTGTCTGAAAATGTGCCTGAATCAAACATTATAAAACAATTTATTAATGATCTGTAACACTTTGTTATAAACTTACCTAACATGTATGGCTTAGGTTATAAAGATAGAACGAAACCTCCTTTTAAGTTAATGTCTCAATGTCAATAATTGTGAACCGATTTTCAGGACATATGAAGATTTTTGATGATTGCTGGTCGAATATTTGCATGCTTGAATTATTGCCCTTTTGATTGTGACTTGGACTACAGTGTTAATGAAGTTCAAAGAATAATTATCAGAAAACAACCATTTTTGGCACAAAGGATTGCTTTAGCAACTTTCTTGTTATTGCAATGTCTACACAATGTCAATATTGCGATGATCTGATCATGTGATACTCGTTTTTATACGCCCTCATGGAAATGTGAACGTATATTTCCGTCGCCCCTGTCCGTCGGTCCGTCAACATTTCTTGTGAACACAATAGAGACTACAGTTTTGAATTGATTTTAATGAAATTTGGTGTGATCATTTATATTGATGCGATAATTTGATGTATTTGGGTAATTGATATTAATTTTTAAAAATTTGGTGGAATTTCTCAGCATAAATAACTGGCAGTAAATATATATATCATTGAATTCAAACTATTAAATTTCTTTAATATGAGAAAAATCATACTTTAGTCACTAAAGACTGTTTTATCATTTCTAAGATGCCATCCCACAGGTGTTCTATCGGGTTTAAGGCATTGATCCAATCTTATGCTGTGGGCTTTGGCATTGTGTGGACGGGCGTTCTTATGTTGCAAGGTGTCATTTCGGAGTCTTGCAAATTTGGGTACAACTTGGGTCGGAGAAACTGGTCGATGTAACGGGCGGCGTTATAACATGTATAACCAAGTTGTTGGTATAAATTTCAAGTTCGAAATTGAAGATTTTATTTGAAAAAAATGCACACGGACCCGGAATTCAAATCGGAACCATGTATACTTTTTATACGCCCACATGGAAATGTTGACGTATATTGCCGCCGTCGGTCCGTTCACATTTCTTGTAGGCACAATAGAGGCTACAGTTTTTATCTGATCTTGATGAAACTTGGTATGCATCTATATTTTGATGAGATCTCGGTCAAATTCGAAATTGGTATTAATCGGAAGAGCGGTTTCAGATTTATTGCCCTTGACTAAGTAAAAACTCGTCAAATTTGGCTTGTAGGCACGATAGAGACTACAGTTTGTATCCAACCTAGATGAAACTAGGTATGCATGTATATATTGATGAGATCTCAGTCCATTCGTAATTGGTAAACATAGGATGATTGGTTTCAGATTTATTGCCCTTGACTTAGAAGTATAAAATTTCAAATATAGGCACGGTAGAGATTACAGTTTTTATCCTATCTTGATGAAACTAGATATTGCATTTATATATTGATGAGATCTCACTCGAGTTCGTAATTGGTAACAATCGGATGAAGGGTTTCGGAGTTATTGCCCTTGACTTAGTAAACACTTGTCAAATTCGGCTTGCAGACACGATAGAGACTACAGTTTGAATTTGATGAACTGTTTCATGTTTTTGCCTTGATTTAAAGATGATTTTAAGATTATTAGAAAATTCATTATTAAGCCAAGATTTTGTTATCATTTCTGACAGCTGATAGTGGGCGTATGTTATCTAGCCTGGCAAGATATCTTTAATTAACTGAATGAGGGGCGATAAGGGTATGAATTAGGGGCGATATGAGAAGACGTCTTGGTTATGTTGTGTTGAATTTCAGATGAATTGTTTTGGATTAGACTCAGTAATGAGATAGAATCGTGTTTCAAATTAATGGCCCGGGCATTAAAATAAAAGTAAGCCTAATTTAATTCTTTTCTACTTGATTAACATATAACTTTTAATTTAATACTATATTTTGTATGCACCACATCTTTTGAATGTATTTAAAAATTGACTAATTTAACGCCATACAAAATTTCGCGCTTCGCCAATGTTCGTTAGTTGCCGTTTGTTGTTCGTTAGTTGCCGTTTGTTGCCGTTTGTTGTTCGTTAGTTGCCGTTTGTTGAACATTGAATCGACCATGAAAGAATGACTTGTCGGTAAATGGGCATTTTAGTGAGCTCACGACGCCGACAAGCCTTTTTCCCCTAAAAAAAACAACAGCAAACAACTCAAAAACAATCAAGCGAACAAAAAACTATAAAACCAAATCATAATAATTAACTTAAGCAAAAGGGTCAACACTCTCTTTACCATGTTACGCATGACTCCCGCTAAACTTCAACGAGCATGGACTAAATTATCTTTATAAAATACCTACCATGCCTATAACATTATATCTTCATGATGAATGAATACTGGATAGACGTTTTGTTGTCCTGTTTTCTGCACACGCCTTTAAATATTATGTTTTGGAGAGGAGCGTGGCATATTCAGGATGTGTATTTTATCCCTGAAGTACCGTTGTACAACCATTTGATTTCTGTTGTTCTTGGGATATCGCTATCATTGATCATATACTTAACACAAAGTTATAGCCGAACCTATTTTCCTCGTCTGAGAGGAGTGCCTTATTTCTTCGTTTCAAGACTATACACGCTGATTTTTGGTTTTGGAAGTGTTTCTCACTGGCGTGGATTATGGTTACTGATGGATTATTATACCGAAGTGTCTTGGATTTCAGTCACAGTGTCATGCAGTCTAGGAATCTTGATTTTAGTGTGTTTAAAATCGTACTGTACAATGCTCGCTCCCCCAGTTGTCATCGGCATAGACTGTTTTAAAAACACCCAATTTGTTATCACCACAAGATTCCAGTGTAATATTAAGGTACTTAAGTCAGTACTTAACCTTATTCATGCGTTATCTTATTTATTAATTTGTGTCATATTTTGTTCTTGTTAAAGGGACAGATGTGGCATTTTGGAGGGTTGATTTTTAAGTCTTGAATATATGTAAATAGTCTTAAGAGGTATATAATATTTGAATGTACGAAAATCGCATAATTCCTTTCAAAATACTTCAAACTAGACATTTTACTCATTATTTCTATATCACAGGGTATCTTAAAATAACTAGTCGTCAAACGCGGATAACTCTGGACACACATGGATTTAAAGACTCAAATTTCGACAGTGAGCTGTAAATACTATTACTAATTGGCTTAGCTAAAAAGATTCCCGTTTCTGAGACATAAGTATGATTGGTCAAAAGAAAAAATGGCGCCCTGTCCCTTTAATAATGTGTCGGAGGGTAAAGAGTTTGAGATAATGCCTTCGGGCTTATTAACCGAGTTTCCACCCTCCAGATTTTTTGACCTCATCTCTTGTCTCAGATGCAGGTCGAAAGGGCTGACACGGAGAAGGTGTTCATGCGTTTGGATGGGACAATAAACACCTGGTTTAGAGATTGCACGCTAAAGATCTCTTGCAATTTGGAAATCGAAAATGAAAAGGCTAATGCCACTGTTCTGGCACAGTCTTATTTCTTATTCTAAGTCCTCTCTTATTTCTTTCCGACAATACGGATACAGCAGTGGCGGCCAATCCACGCCCCCCTATCCCCCGAACCCACAAGAGAGGCTGGCCCGGGTAAAGATGACATAATTTACCACAGTATCATCTTCAATGACCTAGTTATACGAAATTAAATTGTGGACTGTAGGTCATAATACTAGCCAATATAATATGGCTATTTGAATGAGATTTGCGGACACGTATCTATTAAATTCAGACAGGTGACCATAGCGTACATTATCTTGACTAGAAAGAACACTGAACGGGTGACCATAGCGTACATTATCTAGTCAGGAAAGAACATTGAACGGGTGACCATAGCGTTCATTATCTTGTCTAGATACCGTACATTATCTAGTCGAGAAAAATCGTGAACGGGTGACCTTAGCGTACATTATCTAGTCTAGAAAGATCATTGATCAGGTGACCCTAGCTTACATTATCTAGTCTGGAAAGAACATTGAACAGGTGACCATAACTATCTTGGCTAGAAAGAACATTGAACGGGTGACCATAGCGTTCATTATCTTGTCTAGAAAGATAATTGAATTGGTGACCATACCGTACATTATCTAGTCGAGAAAAATCATGAACGGGTGACTATAGCGTACATTATCTAGTCTAGAAAGATCATTGAACGGGTGACTATAGCGTACATTATCTAGTCTAGAAAGATCATTGAACAGGTGACCATAGCATACATTATCTAGTCTAGAAAGAACATTGAACGCGTGACCATAGCATACATTATCTAGTCTAGAAAGATCATTGAACGAGCGACCGAAGCGTATGTTACCTTGTTTATTAAGATCATTGAATAGATGACCAAAGAACACGCACTAACACAGTTCATAGCCATTTTGGAGTCGAATTTCAACAAAGCCTTTCAAATCACATCCAAAGCTGTTTCTAAAACTTTAAATGTAATTAGAAAATATTAAAGTACTATCGCCTTTTTGAATTTCGACTAGTGAGTAGTGATTCAAAATGGCTGTTAACTACGTTCGTGTGTGTTATTTCCATGTAACAACAACACGCAGTTTTTGTACCTGGTCTAGAAATATCATTAAATGGGTCACATGGACGTATATTCCTAAATAGCACTTTCTATTTCAGAAATCAACGAGTCTGTATATGCTTGATGTCATCTTTACCGTGGTTGTCATTCAATCGTTAGTAGTTGTTGTATGGAGGGGACTTTGGGAAATATTGGACCTCGGACTGTATCCAGACGATTCTCTATCGACTACTTTGTACTCTTTTCTGATTGGTTACTCGCTGATGGTTATTGCCGTACTCGTCCAATTATTTATAGCTGAATTAAGCAAGAAGCTGTACCAGGCAGAAAGATTTGTGCTGAGATTGGTCGTGGAAGACGTCTATGTTATTTTACTGAGTATTTTGACTGTGTCATGTTGGAGAGGGTTGTGGTATATTCAGGATCTTTATTTGTTTACCTTTAACATTGAATTAAGTTATTGGGTATCACTAATCACCGGATGTCTCGGATTAGTTATACTGGGGACCTTCAATTCCGTAGTGACAAAGGGGTGTTTTATTGATGGTGCTGATCCTGGTGGCCAAGGTGTTATTTGTGACGTTGGTTATTTCTCAAGGTCGTATGATGTGGTCGACTAAAAGCCAGAACTCATGTTAGACAGGGATTGAGATACTGAAGTCTTGTCATTGGCAATAGGGCCTACCGACTGATGAAACAGCTGCCAGCATTATATTCCTGTATGATAATGATTCGTCTCCAATAAAGTAGAAATGGTCTAAATAAAGGCTGATCTCTAATAGCCTCTATCATCATGTCCCTCTTTGTCTATGTAGATCTTCGACGAAAGATTGCCTGGACCTGTTGCTTAAAATATTTGTAATTGAGTCTACAGTGGCTATTGGATTTGGTTGGTTGTAAAGTCACCCTTTTCTCATTGGAGCCACCCCCGCAGTATGTCTTTAAATATAATGCGATCTACTCAGTGGCGGAGTCAGGATTACGTCCAAGGGGGGTGGGGGCGAAATATATGAGATTGCCCGAATTTCTAACCTAGTTATACTAATTTTGCCCGAAAAACTTGTTTTCGGGTCTGCGAGGGGGGTGACTGACCCCTCTGTCCCATCCTTTGCCTCCGCCACTGGCTCGGCTCTACCGATATTCCAACTTTAATTTATTACTTCAGTTGCATTTTGTTAAATATAGCTTGCCCCTTTTTTGGACCACGACCTCCATTAGACTCCAGTCGAGTAAATATAATTGTATTCAGATGGGTTCAACCACTAACCACAAAATCACAGATGAAACATTTCTGCTTTTGAACCCATACTTTATTCCTTGCACAGTATAAATGGACCACAAATCTCAAACTTTATTTTGTATACAAAGGGATTTATTTTATTGCACTATTCACACCAATGTTATAATACATGGGTTTCCTTACAAAAAATATCAAACCCCTTCTTCCATTAAATTTCTTCCCATTTTATAAAATTTCTCACTAACACAGCCTAGTCGACTAAACCGAAACTAATCATAACCACGTGATAAATCAGTCGTCATGCACGACGGCGCCATCTATCGGCGACTTATAAGTTCAATAATAAATAAATAAATCTTTAGTTCGTAAAATGTCAAAAACGTGACACACACTACAAATATATGGCACTATGTTCTATAATGGTATTTCGTTTTCACTAATGATGTGTTGATTGGACCTGCTAAAAGTAAAAATCTAGAATTTATCAATAGAACTCTAATTGGTGAAGAAAAAGTCACTTTTTTTATAATGAGAGAGGAATAATTATTTCATCTTTGTAGCCATGATTACGTCATACATCCCGATCAATTCTTGTCTGGGTAGGGACCGTCCAAGATCTTCTGGATGAATTCTGAAATAAAAATTATTGGAATATGGCAAAACGATTTTGTACAAAAACATCACAAATCACCTTGTCATCAAACAATTAGCTTTAGTGGAATTGTAGGAACTATAGACGTCTGATAGAAAATTGGAATGATACCATCAGTGTTCCCGATACACAATTTTTTTTAGAAAATTTCTTTACAATCCTCTTAACCCAAGACATGCCATTTGTTTTTACAGAGTATTTCGGACTACGGACCTACCACTCTTCCCTTTCGGAGGTACGTGTGCGAAGTTATTGCTGATTGGTTAATTAGTAATTGGTTGTCCAATCAAAATCTTATAATCCTATGTCTGCTGGAGCAGAAAAATGGTGCCCGCTGGATTCAAGATATTGACTTAAATAGATGAATCTTCTTAGATGTTTGTGACGCTCGTATATGTTTAGTTGAAATTTTCAAAAAGGTAAGGGAAATATTCTCCTATATGGTGGAATGGGTTTTTTTTTAAAGTATCGATATTTCATGCTCCAAACCACAAAAACTGATTGAACAAACCAGACATCCATCAGCCCTCAACCAACCCCCCTCCCCTTCCCTGAAATATTGAATGTTGACATTCGAACGGTGCCTGACGTCTGTTCTTTTTCGAACATCTCAGAAAAAAACTGTGACAGTTGCAATAAAATTCCTATGATTTAAACTCTCACCTCTCGATAATAACATGCCAAGAGAAAAATTAGACAAAAGTTCCCATATCGGCTACAACGAGAAGTCGACCTATATTTTTCAATGCTAAAAATAGGGAAACTAACTGGTCGTTATATATACAAATCACAAAATTCCACACCAAAAGTCTTCTCTAATGTCAGTGCATTGTACAATTTGATCAACTTCTGCATCTGTCATTCTATCACCTGAAACACACAAAGCTCTTTGTATTACTTGTTTTTGTATTGCTATACATCGCAATCAATTATGTCCATCTTTACTGCTTCAATTTGGGCTAAGAAGACATGAAGGCTATGCAGAGTGCAAAATCTTCCCAAAGGTACCCCTTCCCCCTCTGCATAAATGAGACTTGAACTATACCTGGATTTAAATCCTTTGCTAAACTGAGCAACCAATCAGTCACATTCACAATAATGTCTAGATTTTCACCGGACGAATTCAACCAAATATGTACCAAGCCCAACACACATCTCCCTATCCACAACTTCCTCGACATGTATTACTAGGTACTATTTCTCTAGCAAGGTTAGTAACCGGCCTCCCAATTCACTGAAAAACTCGAGTAATGCTTACCAAGGGACACTAATACTTGTCTCATTTCAGCTGAAGAAATAAAACCTTGACCTTCACGATCAAATGTTTTAAAAGCTTCTTTAAAGTCAGCAAAGGTGCCTGTGTCTTTTATAGCTGTGACTGTTTCATAAATTGGTAAAAATTCTTCCAATTTGTATGATTTTTCACCTAAAAAATAAAACAATAGTATACAATATGTTGATAGTTGACCTTGTGACACTATGAGAGTGACTTTGTCAACTCGGTATTCCTGAGTCCACATGGCTCATTTACAAAGTAATGAAGCTTGAAATTTCTGATTCGATGGTCTTCTTTTATTCAATTTCGAATTTTGAATCCTATTTCCTAACAAGCTGTCTTGATGATGCCAGGAATGACGATGTCATTACTTTCGAAATTGAAAGCGTCATAATCGTTTGCCAATTTACATTTCCATATCAGACTCAGACCACAAAAACTTGTGTACATCACTTAATGAAATCAGAGTTACTCCCCTTTAATTATTTGGAACCAATACGTCTCGTACCAGTTTATTATACAATGGACTGGTTTCCAGTTAAATTGCTTCTGTACCCTATAAGCAGTTGCACGTATCCAAAATTTGAAACCCATTTTGAACCAGCTAACCGGACTCCTAATGAGTTTTTGTCTCCCGAATTGCCCACAGTATATATGCGGTCCGGTCATTATGATATATATACACTCATCGATCAACAATCTATAGTATGAATTAGATTTGAGTTGACTTACCCATGGCTTTGGTTCCTCCATTCTTTGTTACTGTTGATTCTGTTGGATTTAAACCTAAACACCGTAACATATCACCAGTTTTGAAAGCATCGACATCTCCATCCCGACCATCCCAGAAATCAAACAAATCGAACACCTCTCGCACCTCTAAAATAAATCAAAAACAGATATAAACATTAAAGAATAACCATTTGCAACACTGACCATCACTCACTATCGAAATTCAACTTAAGCTGTACATAAATATATTGTTAAATAGAAAATATGTTGCATGGTTTTCCACAATTGACTTTATTGGAGGTGAAGATAGTTTAAATTAGACCGGCTATAATTTTCACCCATCCCCCCATTCAGTTACTGACAATATTATGATGCCATCGGTTATATGCGTCTACAATTTTGACTTTACTACCAAGTAGCCTGCCTATTATTATTTTGATAATTTACGAGATTAATTTGTTCAGTTTAACTTTCCAAGGGACCTAAGGCATCAGGGTTTTGCTATAATGTCACAGAAAATAATATATTTACAGTTATTTAATCATGGTATAACTTATATAATTTCGGTATATTGTATTTAATTGAACAAGACTGGAAATTGTTTTATCATTTGTTCACTAAGTCATATATCAATACAATTTCTAATGCTCGTGAAATTATGAAAAATATTGAAGAAATCGTTATAACTTAACGGATTGAAATTCCATGGCAGAAAGCCAAAATATTGAGGGTGGGTAATTTGTGGGTAGGTCAATTTACACGGCAATTTCACTGTAGAAAAACTAATACAAGTCGGAATTTAGAGTGTTTACGGTAAAGACTATTAAGAATATTTACGGTACAGGCGATATGTCTAACTATCATTCATACAGTACGTTGGCATTATACTGATAACAGTTAGCCCAAACCCTTTTATGGAAAGGTACCAACGCAGTGGCACCGGTAGCTAAATATAGCCTAGCGTTCTCGTGCTAATGCAACCTACTATACTCTCTCAGAGAATTTTTGTTATAATATACAGGTAGACTTTATCATCTAGACTTTATTCTAACCAGGTAGTATTAGCTTTGGTTAACTAGTCACACATACTACAGATTCTTGTGGCATTTTATTATGTTATTTCTAGTTTATAAAAGAAGTCAGTCAGAAATGAATAAATGGCTCCACTTGTTTTGAAAGTGAAACTCATTACTCTTATGGAAGGTGTAAACAGTTGATGTCCAATCGGCTCTCGAAAGCGCTAACCGTTGGATCGAAAATTGTTGAATGCACACCCATATACGGATGGAGCTTGGGGCTGCGATAAGAGTCGGCATATTCCCAACATATTAATTGCCTATATCAATTAACCAGATCACTGAACCGTGTAATAACAAAGAATTTCCATCTTCATTTCTTATTTCCTGCAGGCATCGTATGACGTCACCAGGTGAAACAGTCTATCAACGACCTTCAAGTCGGTACAAGGTTAATAAACCCACACCATTTTACTATCATAGAAAGAAAACATGTTTTCACACTGTATTTTTTATTCCATTTTCACTGACTGAAACCCTTTCGCCCACCTAGTAACATGACAGTGGTAAAGACTAAACAAGATTGCAAAAGCTCGGCTGAGATTTACTGCACTCTTTGAGTATGCAGCCATCTTTTCGAGAGTGTAACCATGTTCAGAATTATACTATGTACCTTAAACACTGAAGTAATTTTCCTATTCCATTAAAAACAATAAGCAGGATGCCAGAGTGTTCTACATCAACAGATAATAAATAGTTATCTAGTATCCTAAAAAATCTGTTGCCTATTTTATGAAAGTAGGTCAAGGCATTTCCAAATGATTTATACTTTTTGTGATTCTCATAATTTTATTCTCGTATAAATTAACCCAGAGAAAAACACAGAAGAAAGTTAAAAACTCAGAACAAAGTTGCCCTGTATACCTTTCTGGAGATATGTTATTGCGTTTTTGGCAAATTATCCCCTTTTCTGGCCCTGAACCTGTGAACCATCATATTTATACTCTTAATGCTTCTAGAATTCGCGATACATGTATTATGCGCCATTATCTCTTGGAATATAACAAAATAGACCACAAAAAAAATATTTTTTCTATACCTACCAATATTCAACGTTACTATCTCTAAAGAAAATCAAAAACAGACGGCCTCGTGCCAAATGGATCATATTTCACGTGGGGTAGAACGACAGAAACAGATGTATGTATAAATACTAGTGATGTATAATATACATACACGCAAATGCAGTTTCATGTTAGGCATATTTTTCTGTGGCACAAATAATATATACGTCTGGGTAATTAAGTCTACATTCCAATGTTATTGGCATCTTCAATGCACCATGAACAAGATTGATATATCACTCTTCAGGTTTCGGTGACTGGCGGCTTTTCTAGGGTATTTGATACTGCACTAATTTCATGTACGTCCAATATATTATACACATCGGACTGCAGATTCAAAAAGTAATAGTTCATCCATGCCCTCTTTATGTTACTATTTTGTTCTAATATTCCTTTTTGACTTTCATTTTTATATTCCTGTTATTTTATACTTTTATATTTATCTTTTTGCAAGTTCCAAATTCCTATTTTAATTGAAGATAACATCTTAAACATTTAAAACATTGCCAAGTTGATTTGATCAAATGAGAGACGTTTTGCCAAATCTACATACAGATATGGTGCACTTTTAAAAAAGATTATCAAACAAGACATCACGCTATGTTATAAAGATGAAATGCATGTTTTAGTTACAATGTAATGTAATTAATCATCATTACAAATGGTATAGGACATACAACTTCACCTTGTCTTACCCCAATTGCACAAAGAATAATGGAAAAAATTTTTCGTACAAGACTGTCCTCAGAAGCATAATGTGATATCTGATTTACAAAATAAAAAGAAAGACATAGGGAATAACAGAACAGCGCGTCGATGACTTATATTGTACATTGATCAAGTTTATTGCTTGAATAAATGAAAAGAGTAGTGCTTAAAACGACACCCTGTTTTACCCCCTATTCTATTTAAATCAAAATACCGACTTTTCCATGTACTATTAATATTTAAATATCAAATTATTTTTCTGTTTAACTTCATTATTAATCCGATTAACAATAACCATATTTATAAGCAGTATCCGGCCTTAACATGCTTTAGAGTCTCAAAGAAAGTTTTGCTTGGTGTATATATAATTATTTTTGTCTTTCAGTTGAAACTGCAGAATTCAGTGTAAAAAATAACAGGATGTTCAACTTACCCTCTACTGTGTCTCTCGATAAAGAAGACTGAAATATAGGAGGTTAGATTAATTTACTTTCTTTGAGGACAATCAATTTATTTTTTGATTGCTCAAATTGCATTTTGCTGCTCTGGGTGGATGTTTTTACCTCTCTGTGAAAAAAATCTGTTTAAATGTACTCGGGAAATACAAAATCCACTTTCAGGGTTGAGGCATGAAATAAACGAGTGGGCGTAAAACAATAGGACTCGTGGACATAGTAGCCTATGCAAACTTATCAAGTGTATACGAAGCCAATTGATTGGTGCACTGAAAATTTGAATAAATAACAAATCAAAAATGATATTGTGACCAGGGAGATGAATGTCCGATCCGAATCTAGTCTAAGCACAAGATGGGCAAATTATAATTCTAGGGCATTAGATATGAAATTTGCAATGAAGTACCAAGAATAATTAACCAGATATCTGAGTAGGTAACTTAATTGGTTTCTCGGCAAGTAGCCAATTTCATAAGTAGACTTACTATCATTCAACGTAAAAAATAATTTTTAATGATTTACCGGCCGGCTTTTTCGAATTCCATTAGTTGGCATTTTAAGATAAAAGTATAAGGCAATTTTTTTCATGCAGAAGTATTTTGAGTTTATATCAAACATTTTCACAAATGTGAATAAATGAAATGTCTACAAAAATTGTTTTCGGTGGTAGACAACGATAAATAGTTACCTGAAGAATGGTAAGATCATTAGTTCGTCTCTTGTCGTAGACAGGTAATAACTAATCATGATAATGAGAAAAGCAGAAAAAAAGACGTTCTGACTTTTGCTGTAATGATATCTCAAGTACTAAATAGTTATCAGAGAGATTATTTCTTGAAAACCTGTTTAGTAAATGAAGAATAATTTTCTATGTCCTTGGTAGGTTTGGTTTGACTTTGAACGTTCTAATGGTACAATAGGTCTCTACACTATAGAAATATGGCTACTCTACACAATCAAGTTCTATTTTTACTCACCATTCTGATGTGGTTTTTGATACGATGCTGCTTCTTCGAATGATATGTGGAGAAGGCCGGAGATGTGGAATGATTTAGAAATCAGACAACCCCCATATCCCCTCTTTTATAAGACCAGTCCATTTTCCGATCTTGGGGACTTAGTGAGAGTTTGATTTCCTATCGACGACTTAGTTTAAATCATTGACGTAATGGGTTTAGTCGCTATGACGTGATAAGCTGTTATAATATCAGATCATGCAGATCGACACGGTTTTGGATCCGGCTGATCAATGGTTTAAAATGAATGTTTTTCAATACCCCACCCATATAATTGATTGATCTCAAATCGGAAATGACGTAAGCGTTTTGGTTGTGCCATTTTTTAGCACATTTTCCAAGGACTATTTATTTGAATATATTTTCGTTGAAACGGTTCCAGTTTAGTCTGTGCTAATTTATGTGTCAAAATGGCCAGAATTTTAATTGAATGGATGTGAAACAATGTCATAATCAAAGGATATGTTTTACTTTAGGAAAAATACACTGTATAGATAGTATACAAATCTGGTTACTAAGGCGACGGCGTTTGGCTTATTTGGAACCTCGTAGACTTGCGCGTGGTAAGTGCACGTGCCAAACTTGGTAGTACTGGAATATGATATGTTATCGAAGTTTCCAGATGTTTGATTTGATATTGTCTTTTAACAGACGAATATTGAGTGAATCGTAAAATAGGAGGCTTTTACCCAATTCTGGAGGGGCAATACAGTAAAAAAAATCCCATTATTGTCGAACTCGTCTGCCACGATAGCTTATGAATATAACCAACCAGGATCCGTTTGCCATTGAGGAAGTTGGTTATAAGACATAACATGATGTATAATACATTCAAAAACAAAATTATTCAGCACGAAAGTCAAACTCGTGTTTCAAAATCAAAGATGGCTGCCATAGTCACGTGATATAAAATTGGTAATATGATTAAAATAACCCAGTTTGTAGTCTATAATCTGATTATATCAGTGAAAATAGAATGATTAAATCAGATTAAGTCACAAATTAAATCTGATTAACTTCCTTCATTATTTCAATTCCCTTTAAATTCATTACAGATGTCTGTAAACCTTATGGGTTTATTTTGTAATCTAACATAGCAGACTTGTCCACTTAATACCTTCATATGATAGTGTATTGAGGTGATTTTGATTGATACTCTATTAAACTCAACTATCGATAGGTGTTTCGGTGAACTTTTTCGGAAAAAGTGGTGATCAGTATGATTTCGATACCAATGCTTTCCCTGTCAAAATGTTTTAATATTCGCCAATTTGTTGCGATCAAAATAGAATTAATACAACTTTTGTTTAATCCCATCGCGGGTTATCAAGAAGTTTAGTCGCCATTTTGGTTTCCTATAAATATACGAAAAGGAAAGAAGTTATTGTATGCTACAGTTTACATGATATAGTTCTGTATGTGTGTTAATATAAAATACTTAGATCATGTAATATAAAACCTAAACTCGTTTACAAGACGAGGAATGCTTGATATCATACAAATAAATTATGGAATGATGCCAGAAAAAGACCCGAGTTACCAGACACATTGTCGTATGATAACAATACAAATCTTGTGTCTGGTAAATCGAATAGATCTAAAACGTATCATCATTCAATGTGCGATGTCAGCAATGTCTAAATACATCTTGAAGAAAATTAGAGATAAGCAGTAGATTGTTTATGAGTGTTTTCTCTATTAACGCACAATCATTAGAACCGCTGATCTTTTCCGGGATTCTCACAGATTTCAAATAGATGTTGATCAGTTCATGAATTGTTTCACGATAAAGCCATTCCATGCATACTTAAAGCAGTGTTCGGAACTTGTATGAAGTGTTAAGAGATTGCACTTTGCTCAATTGAGTTTAAACACCATGTTGCTTACTAAACTACCAAAGAAAAGCACTCGACTCAAGGGCTATATCTTAGAAACTATTATTTTGGTGTAAATGATATTTTGTATCTCACAAAATTATAATAGGTGACTAAAGTTGAAATTTGTTCATTCTAGGTCAGATATTAATCACGTGCAGCTCTTTCCTAGTTGAGTAAATGAATTGTGTTGGATAACTTCAGAATTAGCATGTACAAATCTTTCGCAGTATTTCAGAATGAAAACCTGAGACCAGGTTCGTCTGAGCATGTACAAATCTTTCGCAGTATTTCAGAATGAAAACCTGAGACCAGGTTTGTCTGTAATATTCATCATGTACTGTTCTTTCGCAGTTGAGTATATGAATACACTTTTCAGAATGAAAATCTGAGACCAGGTTCGTCTGTAATCAAATTGAAACGATGCATCCGTGTGAAGTGACATTGGTTGGTCAAAATCAAATATCAATTGAGATCAAGTTTGTTTTCGTCACTTCTGTTGGATTTTTACAGTATATCCAGAACACATATTTTCATTATGAAAAGTGATAAGGGACATTTAATTCCGTCCAGCAAACAACAAAAGCTAATAAAGAAGACGATCTCACATGTATATAAGCTACGGGAGAAAGCGCGGAAACTTACTAAAATTTGAAATTTGGAAACTGTTTATTAAAGAAAACGAAATATTCCCATGTTGTAAAGCTTTATGTTTCAAACCATGTTGTTACGTTTTTGTTTCAAAGGACATAGTTTATATAATAATATTCAAATGAGCAAAAAACAGGCGTTAAAATTATAATTATCATAATCAGTTTGACGAAAAGGCAAGAAAATGTACATCGATGGTATTCATTGAAACATGCATGGTTCATGGGTAATACAATTTGGGGATAGTTTTTCGACTTGCGAATTGAGTGAATGGAATAATAATCTTAGTATGGAAGGATATTTATATAAAAAAAACTTGTAAACTATGACTATAGTCTTAATTATCACAATGTATTATAATGGTAGCTTTTTGTCCCACACTAAGTGTTTCAAGCTAAAACCTAAATTTAGAGTAAATGACAATTTACCTCTGTTTTGATCAACAAATGTACGAGGATAAATTGATTAACTAACTAAACAGAATCACACTCTTATGATACAAAAAACAAAAAACATAAATTAAATAAATTATTAAGAAAACAAATGTGTCTTAAAAATATTTTCGTTTTCTGTTGTTGTGACAGACGGGCACCGTTCAGATAGTTGTCTGTTGCCTGCAGAAAAACGATGATATTTTAAAGATACTACTGTCCTGTGGTGTAGGAAAAATTATTGCACACGTTTTGAATTGAAAAAGAAAATATATCAAAGGCATTTCTTACCTTTCGAAAAATCAAATAAATGTCAAAAAATACGATTTTTTTAGCGAAACTTTAGAGAACAAAACATTATCCACTAAAACACTCAGAAGAAGAATATATTCCATTTTTTGATCAGAAATTTTACACTAATATCAACATTTTTCTTTCAGAACAAATTCCCAAAGTTCACATTTTCTCTTTAAAGTTCCCTAGATTGATCTTGAAATCTTTACACACCAGGGGGTCCTTCCATAACTTTCTCAATAAAGGCTGCAATGAAAAATAAGAGAATTTATGAGAAATATGTCAAGGAAGCTTACACACCAATCATTGCTGTAAAATATATCGTTCAAAAGTTATTTATGTAAAAGTTGTGTGTATGTGTATATTATGTCTGAATGTTAGCTTTGTGTAAAATATTATGTCTGAATGTTAGCTTTGTGTAAAATATTATGTATGAATGTTTGCTTTGTGTAAAATATTATGTCTGAATGTTAGCTTTGTGTAAAATATTATGTCTGAATGTTAGCTTTTGTGTAAAATATTATGTCTGAATGTTAGCTTTGTGTAAAATATTATGTCTGAATGTTAGCTTTGTGTAAAATATTATGTCTGAATGTTAGCTTTTGTGTAAAATATTATGTCTGAATGTTAGCTTTGTGTAAAATATTATGTCTGAATGTTAGCTTTGTGTTAAATATTATGTCTGAATGTTAGCTTTGTGTAAAATATTATGTCTGAATGTTAGCTTTGTGTAAAATATTATGTCTGAATGTTAGCTTTGTGTAAAATATTATGTCTGAATGTTAGCTTTAAGTAAAATATTATGCCTGAATGTTAGCTTTGTGTAAAATATTATGTCTGAATGTTAGCTTTGTGTAAAATATTATGTCTGAATGTTAGCTTTGTGTAAAATATTATGTCTGAATGTTAGCTTTGTGTAAAATATTATGTCTGAATGTTAGCTTTGTGTAAAATATTATGTCTAAATGTTAGCTTTGTGTAAAATATTATGTCTGAATGTTAGCTTTGTGTAACATATTATGTCTGAATGTTAGCTTTGTGTAAAATATTATGTCTAAATGTTAGCTTTGTGTAAAATATTATGTATGAATGTTAGCTTTGTGTAAAATATTATGTCTGAATGTTAGCTTGGAGTAAAATATCCTGTCTCACTGTTAACTTGGTGTAAAGTATTATGTCTCACTGTTAACTTGTTGTAAAGTATTATGTCTCACTCTTAACTTGGTGTAAAATATCATTTCTAACTCTTAACTTGGTGTCAAGTATTGTGTCTCGTTGTTAACTTGTTCTAAAATATCATTTCTCACTGTTAACTTGGTGTCAAGTATTATGTCTCACTATTAACTTGGTGTAAAATATCATGTCTCATTGTTAGCTTGGAGTAAAATTACATGTCTCAATGTTAGCTTGGTGTTCAATATCATGTCTCAATGTTAGCTTGGTGTTCAATATCATGTCTCAATGTTACGTTAGCTTGATGTAAAATATCATCTAGTCACCTCTAAGTAGTTAATCAATAAATACTTACTGTCGTATTTGATGTTACCCTCCAAGTCCTCTCGGACGTCTGTATATTTAATAATATCATCTATTTCAGAGTCTGTTAATCGGTCACCTGCAAAAAAAACAAAACAATTATATTATGTTTTGTGGCATTATTGGTCAAGTCAGGCAGCCCAAGATGAAATCTTTTGTGAAAAAGCCAATCGTTTGTAAATGAACCGATTTTGGTGATAAATGCATATTTTTCAATTTTCACTACTCCGAGTTGATATCTTATCTAGTTGCCGATAACATCTAATGTTAATATTGGGACATCTGACTGGAATGTCAATATGCCAATAAAAATTTCGAGTCAGCAGAACCCAATATGATATAACCTAACTTACCCATGGCGTTGAGCATGTGTCTCATTTCAGCTGCTGAGATGAATCCCTGTCCTTCACGATCAAATGATTTGAAAGCTTCTCTAAAGTCTTTATGGGTCATGGTGTCTTTAATAGCTTTAGCCTGCTCCCAAATAGCTTTACATTCTTCATATGGGAGTTGTTTCTCACCTGCAAAAGAGAAAAAGATTAGGTTAGTTTCGCTGTCCTGTCAAAAATCACATTCATTGTGCACTGCATTATCCCTTTTGACAAAGAATCTGAAAATCAAGTATTGTCGAAAGTGTGCCATTTCACATTTTTATCGTAAGACTCTTTGAAAAAAGAGACATCGACTTAACTTGAGAAATTTGGGATAAGAACGTAGTAGGACGTAAAAATCCATTCCATTGCACTTTGTAGCATTTAAGACATTGTTAGTGTAATATTCTTTGAAACCTTGATAGCGCCAATGAGAGCAGGAGAAAAGCGCAGATAAATAGGACGTAAAACTCTATAATAGTCATCCTTACCTTGATTCTTGGTTCCTCCGAATTTCTTAATGTTTTCTTCTGTTGGATTCAAACCAGTACATCTTAAGAAATCACCGACTTTGTAGGCGTCGACTAAACCATCCCGACCATCCCAGAAATCGAAAAGATCGAACACCTCTCGGGCATCTGAAACCAGAATACAATTCTATAAAATATAACTAAAATAGGGAATCTTTTTGTCAATTTTTTTTTTATTAAGATCAATGGAATTTTGAATAACGCAGTTAAAATGTATGACAAATAAGGCCATTTTTGTTCAATAGATAAAATGCTTTCAAACTCGAGTAAAATATGATGACTTTTTCAAATGTAACAAATTTCAGACTTCATCAGGTGATCAGAGACACAATTTCACTAGATACTTCACGTAAATAAAAATAATAGTAGCATTTTTTAACCCCGAATATTCGTTTGAAATCAACATAATTCAAGACTGATCGCATAGCATAAAACTCTGAGTAATAACATGTTTTTAGGTTCTGTTTTAATAGTTCTCTCTCGCTCTACAGTTAATGTATTGAGCACTATTTAAACATTGAGAATTTTTTGTTATTATTAATTCAAGACTAGAGAAAAATTGTATAAACAATGAATGACATAAAAAAAAAGGGATTTTGATACCTATTGTGTTCAATAGATCAAGGGGAGTAACAACGTTTAATCGTTGTTTATTGAACACAGTTGTATATTTTAATCCGTGTCGATATCTATATAGTATATCTATTGTAACATACACTACATGGATAGCTAGCTTCTAAGAGAATGTACATGACATGAATTTTGAGCGATATCATAAAACTTGATGCGACAATTTGAGTGTTTTTCCGAAATGGAATACTTTGGAAATGGTACGAAATTGACCTCTGGGCGATGACCATAACCTTGGAGAAAGGTTCTTGTTTTAAGCTCAACGCACACGACGATCTTTTTAAAGTTTCGTGACAACAGTCAGTCGTGTATGTTAACAAAAACATTTGAAAAACATACTTGTTTGAAATCTGATCAAATGTTTCGCGAATGTTTCTTAAAGCAAAAACAACGTCATGTGTGTTGAATAAAAATATTATGAAACATTTTCCATCCACAAGCAATCAACAAACAATGTCTAGTCACGCGAAATATAATTGTTTTTAACCTTCAGGTCATGTGATAAAATGACAGTATACGCAGTGTTTCTATCTAATCTAAACTGCTGTAGCTAACCTACACTGTTGTAGCTAACTTGCACTGTTGTAACTAACCTACACTGATGTATCTATACTACTGTAGCTAAACTACACAGTTGTTGCTAACCTATACTGTTGTATCTATTCTATACTACTGTATCTATACTGCTGTAGCTAACCTACACTGTTGTATCTAATCTATACAGATACAGTTGTATCAAACTTTTATTCACCGAACAATGAAAAAAGGTGTAAAACGTTTGAAGTTTATTCTACAAGCGTAGATCTAAGGTGATACTCAATGTATAGCCATGGGGGCATTTATGATAATTATCTCGTTTCGTGGTTCAGTTGAGGGTTAAAGTTTGTACAATTTCCAATATACCACATCTAAACACAGTAGAATTAACCAATGAAAAACGAGAAAGACCTATTAACCCTTTGTTAACTAGTCTGCCGCTCATTAATTAACACTTTCACTGTTGGAATCTAAATATGAAACGAAACAAGAGCGCAATATGGTTCATATCTTTGTAGTCTGGGTAAAAACTTTTGACCTTATTTGGCTCTAGCGTTTCAATAGTCAACAGATTGTGAAACGCTATGGAGCCTTATGTCATATGATTTTAACAATATACTGATGTATGGCTACGGATACGCACTTGTAAATTTCCAGAAAATCAAGCTAATTAAAATTAAGATCTGGATATTTTGCTTTCTTCGTGTTTTGCTTTGCAGGTTACTACGCTTGTCAACCATGATCTTAAGAAAGTATTCTCTATATCGTGTTATCAGGTGGATTCACCTGCACAAAAACATGAAAGGAGACATTCAGATTTGCAACAGACAGTTGGTAATCTTACGCTTACAAATACTAATTTTAGCAATCGTCCATTAGAAAAGAATCGTTTTCGTAACAGATTTAACTTAAATATGTAGAGAAAACTCAATCGTTGTTCACAAACTCACTATAAGTTAAACTGATGTATTGGGTTCCACTCGGTTTCAAACTGAAGAGTAAATAATTAAAATGGAACTGGTTTGATCTCTAAAAGATGTTTAGACAAAGTTACTGAAATATTTCAAATTTAATGAGGATGGCAGAAGTGAAGTTTTCCAGACCTCCTGATAAATTACGGCTGTTTAAAGATATGCTTAGAGAATGACTCTGATTAAAGCCGGTTTATAATTCTGAGGTGGAACTTAAAAGAAGGTAATGGAAATAAAATAAACAGCCTAGAGAAATATACAGTCAAGAGAAGTAATAAATCTTATACCCTATAATAACTATGTGTATTCCTAGATGGAAATATAAATTTACGACGTTAAGAAATGTACTTGCTCTAATAAATTGTCTTTTTCTGACACTCACGCTGTCTTGTGCCCTTTTCTATGTTCTGACACCCCCTTCCAATAATTTCTAAAGTCAAAACTTTAACCGAATTTGTACAGTCGAACAGCCAGTCATTCTGTTTTATTGATTGAAACAATTCACAGAATAAACATCACTATCGTCATAAAACCCACCATGCAGTGTGAAAACATAGAATAGAAAGCGAAGGAATAGAAGATAAACAAATTGTGTTTATTTACAGATACGACTGTTAGTGTATATTACAAAACTACGGAAATTTAAGAATGTGTTAGACCACCAATCACCAAATTGACCCACAAACAACACCGGAATTGAAAAAAATCGCAACCAAATTGTCATTGCTTATATTATCGATCATCAGATACAACTGAAAGAAGCTTGTGATTTCATGTGCTGTGCAAAAAACACAGCCCACTTTCAAAATGGTATTGAGGTAGCACATTATTCTGCGAAATTAAAAATGGTTTAGGTCTATTGCATGAACATCTACGCTCCGTAAAATTGAATTCAGTGTTTGCATCCCCAATTGTATCCCCATTTTATTGTGTAACAAATTTAGAAATATTTATACGCCTCCATTTTTGATTTTTAATTAAGCCTCGACTATTGTCTCCCTATTGAGTGTGCCTGCCGCCTATTGTATCCCCCAGTACAAGGGCATCTCGCTGCCATTAATACGAAAAGCTTAAGGTAGCTGTTTGTATCCTTTTATCTGAAACACGATACGTTTAGTATCTCATATTTTTAACTCATTAACAAGTTACATGTCTATTTTTAGTTATAGCAATATTCTGGCTTGAGCTGATATACGTGTTTTCTTTCTACAAATTGACTGGCACTAAAACAACATTCTTTTGAAAGCATTAGCTCTACAGATAGTATTTGAATACGTAGTAAGTGTTCGTAAGAATTTGGAAATGACTCTAATAGAAACTTCTATCTGAAGCGTGAAAAACACGATTGCAAGTATTTAACCGACCTTTACATAGTTTCCCAAATTTTGTTTTATCAATATATATCTACTCGTCGCGAGATATATCGTAACATTTTTCAAGTCGCTGAATGACATTTCTCCTCGCCAACGACATGAGGCATATATCTGTAGGTAAAGATTATTCAGCAATATTTATCGTATGACCAATAATGGACTGTGATTACGAGGTTCAAAATGACTCACTTATTATTTTCGTATAACTAGAAGCAAGTAATACTTGTCCAAATGTTGTTTTCTTCTACCTCTACATTTGCACATGCACAAGTGATTGTGCTTCGTGTATGTACACTAATGGGGAGGTGGCTGCTCAGCGAACATGAACATGCTGCCTTCGTTTTCTCAAGACCCCCTTCCTTCCTCGTCGTTTCAGTAATTCATGAAAAGATAAAACATCGAGTCTTTCGAATGCGCAAGCCAAATCAAAATATTATCCTACCCACAATAAAAACCGGAACCGAATCATGGAAACAAAACGATTCTTAGCCTGAAACAAAGGCGACCGCGGGCTTTAATCAAAACGATATTAGACCTCAAACCAAAACTACCCAGGGGTTTAATCAAAACGATCCTAGACCTCAATTCAAAATGATCCTAGTCCTCAATTCAAAATGATCCTAGTCCTGATTCTAAAACGATCCTAATCCGGAAACCAAGACCATCTTAATCCTGAAACCAAAACGAACCCTATCCTCCAATCAAAACGACCCTAATCCTGAAACCAAAACGACCTTGTTCTCAAAACAAAAAGTATCACTGTTCTCAAACCGAAACGACCCTAGTAGTCAACCCGAATCGTTCCAAGAACTCAACCGGAATCTATCCTTATCGTCAAACCAAAACGACCCTAGGCCTCGAACAAAAACGGTTCCATTCTTCAAACCAAATTATTTCTCAGGCAAAACTGTATCTAATGCAATTTTCCTAAAGCAGAAATAAAAACCTTTCCTAACGCCCAATCCAAATTGCTCGAGTCAAATTGTTCCTTATCCAAACCAAGCCCTGGCCATTATCAGTATATGCGATCCCGACCTGTGGAAGACAGACAAACGATCTTTGTCTTATAGATGTATCTATTATAAACCAAATTTCAACTGAATAAGCTCAAATAGAATGAAAAATGGTTACTTACCGCGCAGATCTTCAGACATTTTGGAATTTTAAAGAGTCAAAACAAGGAAAAAAAAGTTCTAACTACACTGCGCTGCTCACAGTCCACGTCGGTACTTTTGAGGGAACAGGGGAGGCGCTCGTGATGCCAGCAACTTTAACACGACAGAAACTCTCAGGAATTGGACGCTACCATTATTTCAAACTTGAGAGATGGGTATTAATTTACATCAGGTTTTGGTGTTAAAATGAACTGGAGGTGTAATGAGTTTACCAGTCCTTATCAACAACGTGATATATGATAGCCATGATTCTCCTTCAAAACTGTCGAGTTGACTATTCGGTCTCGAGATTGGACAGTCTATAGTTGAGCTACATGGAAGCAGTTTTTAGGAACACCGTCGGTGTTTTTGTTGGAAGTCGAGCCACCTTTTTCCGACAGTGTGAGATCAATGAGACAAGTGTTGCTGAGAAGAAAACTTCTGTCAGAAATAGTTGTTCTGATTCGACCAGGCACTTTCTATCCAATTATTATCTAAGTGACCACTAAAAGTTCCACTTACAACTAACTGCTTTTGAAGTTTTTCATGGACGGAATGACTTCTCCTTGCCCGTAAAGGTTTAGATGCTTGTGTTCTTCATAGATTTGACGATGCAATTTGCTATTTATTTTATCATTGACTCATCGATTTGTCTTCCTAACCGATCAAAACGCCTAATGGAATGAAAGTGCCGAAAAATCGATTTGAAGTAGAGACTTATACAGCCCTACCACCAACCCTGGCCAAATTTCTTACCCCACTGTCAACTTCTATATATGTCTTTATTTGCAACATTTTACGCGATTTCTGGTCAAAGGCAATACATAAAGTAACAAATATAATCACATAATACAATATTAACAGAATCAAATACAAATTGACAATCACAGAGGACAGATTGATAACATTGACATCATAGAGGACAGATTGATAACAAATTGACAATCACAGAGGACAGATTGATAACAAATTGACAATCACAGAGGACAGATTGATAACAAATTGACTATCACAGAGGACACATTGATAAATTGACCATCACAGAGGACAGATTGATAACAATTGACAATCACAAAGGACAGATTGATAACAAATTGACAATCACAGAGGACAGATTGATAAATTGACAATCACAGAGGACAGATTGATAACAATTGACAATCACAAAGGACAGATGGATAACAAATTGACAATCACAAGGACAGATGGATAACAAATTGACAATCACAGAGGACAGATGGATAACAAATTGACAATTGTAGGATATTGATATTATGTTACATGATTCTACATTATAAATGTTTTGGAGCAGCTATGGTTTAAAAAGATATACATAACCACACAGATAAGTTTGACATCACAATTAACATAAGCAATCAATTCTATATGAAAATACGCGAACATAAGGTAGAAAATTGTCAATTATCAAATTATTAGCATTCATAAAATGGGAATTTTATAACTCAAGAGTATTTACAAGAAAAATCTTTCTTCATATCTGTATTCGTTGAATTCAATACAAATAAAAACTTTCTGACTGGTTATATTAGGTATAAGGATGAAAATGCCTTAATATCACCTCCTCCATTTTGTCTCTCTTAGATTGGAATTTTTTGCAAATAGTAAGATGATGCAATTTATCTTCAACTTCATTGCATTCCTCACATAGTCTTTCATTAATCAATATTTGGTCATATCTACCCGATTCTATCCTTACCTTCTGAGCGCTTATTCTTAATATTGTAATTGCTTCTCATTGTATTTTTTAATATAGTGAACGTAGGGTTCAAAATTTGTATTTTTTTTTTTATAGGGCATGTGTTCTGAGTTTGCTAGGCTACTGTCTAATTTTTTTCTGGAACTTTTATCCCCCTCTTCTTTTCTATTCTGAATAAAAGTTGACCATGTGTATTTACCTGTTTGATGAGGGTTGTTTGTTTGTAGAAGGTTATCATCATATATGTAGAATCAATGTTTGATAATTTATCAAAATCATTGTTTTTATTTAGAGAACGTTGCTCTGCTAATGTTTGACCAGGGGGAACAGAACCATTGTATTGACCACGGTGTTACCTATAACATTGTCTTCATCATCTTGATAGCAAAATTTAAAGAAACCAGATTGTTTGAGATCTCGATTGTAGGGTAGGGTTAGCAAAATGCAAGGGGCAGACTATATAAATTTGCCCATAGCCCCATTTGACCAGGGGTGATGAAACTCAGATAGTGGTATTAGATTCTGTGGGCGTATCTTACGAATGCTATCACCCATGGTTTGTTTGACTTTTATTATTTCACACCCCTGTTTGAGAATAAACTCTTCCATGATATATGGAAAGTTGATTGGTGAAATACGATACGTATAATAACCGCTTCAGTAATTATAATTGCACATGTTGGGGTATATCAGTGGTCTAACCAAAACTTTATTAAAAATTTCATGAAACCAGAACATCATGACATGCCTTGTACGACCTTTGCAGATTCGGCCTTCTGCCTATTCATAGTTATTGTAAATATTCCGAACTGACGGTCTTCATTGGCACAATCTGGAGCAGAAACAAGGTGCGGATGCTCATCTGGAGTAGGCTACTCTTAACGCTAAAATTCAAAATAATCATATTTGCTGTGCCACTCTATTTGGATATAGTTTAGGTGAGAAATATATACTAATATGAAAAATGACGCCTTAGTACTTAATTAAAGACAAGATACTTAGTTACGATAGTAACCAAAGATAAAATGGCTAAATCATTCGTTAATAGAACATATGTTTTGTATTATACTTATTATACATAACGAAGAGTAGATTAAGCTACTATATTTTGTATACATTGCATATTTTGAAATATTTATATGTTTTCAAAAAAGCTAATACAAAGCATAACACTGATCACTCAAACTATTCACATTAAACCAAAAATGGTATTAAAACGACTGAAAGAAAGAAATTAGTGGTAGGAGGTTAAAGCAGACACTCTGCTAACTTTCGAAGCAGTGGCCGTGGCATTGGAACTTTTCTTACCTTGAAGAAGATTCGAACCAACGACACCTTATCGCCTAGAAAATGACAATCAAACTCGCTACCAACTGAACTATTTCTCTGCCACAGTTCGAATGTCATAACCTCTAAAAAGCCAGTCGCTCATTTCCTCAGAAGCTAAAGCTGTAGATTCTCTCACGGAAGCTGGAAAGAACATAAGTGAAACCGTGAAATAGTCTGACGAATTGAAAGTATTACAGCTCATAAGAGAATTAAGAAGTAAGAGATTAGAACACCAAGCTCTAGAAAAGCAAGGAAATGTTTTATAGTAATAGGATTATAATGTCAGTGATAATTGCTCGAAGTCCTAAAACTTATTTTGGTTCAGATAAACAAAAATCATTACGTTCTCTTCCTGGTTTTCCATTGGCAAAGTATTCTGGCGAACAACATCTTCCGGGTCACAACTACACTGGTCCAGGTATTAGGCTAGATCTAAGATTAGACGAAAACGATAAACCCAAACCAGGTAAAGAACCAGTCAATAGAGTTGATGCTTAGGAAGAAATAAAGACATAAAGTTTAGACACAAAGCAGATAAACAAATGATAAACGAACCTGAAAATATTCCAAATCCAACGTTCAAAGAGAAACTGGTAAGAGCGTTGATTATAAAACTGTTAAAAGCACAGATGAAATAGGGTATTGGATTGGCAGATGAAATTCATAAAGAATTTAGAAAAAATTAAAACTTTCTAAAAATTAAAGTATTTGAAAAGATGAAACATGGTCAGCCGATTTAATTGATATCCTAGTTGAAAGAGGATATAAATATTGTTTAACAGTTATAGATTTGTATACAAGATATGCATGGGTTGTTCCTTTGAAAAATAAAACAGGATTATCAGTCAAACATGCTTTTGTAACAATTATGAAACCATCTAGTAGAAAACCACAGAAATTATGGGTTGATGATGGAACAGAGTTTCATAACAGAAACGTAAAATCACTCGGGTTTTGAATTTACAGTACTCACAACGAGGGAAAAGCTGTAGAAATAGAAAGATTTAACAGAACGCTTGAATCAAAATTCACAGAACTAAATGGTTAATGATTTTGCCCACTGTACTATCGGAATACAATAATAAAATTCATTCTTCCATCGGTGTTTCTCCAATGCAAGCTAGTCAAAATCAAGATATTATAAAGATTTCTTGTACCCTTCATAATTTTGAAAATGAAATGAATAATTTAAATATCAAACCCAAATTTAAAGTTGGAGACCGAGTTCGTATTTTCAAATATAAAAGTAAATACGAAAAAGGTTACATTGGATACTGGACGAACGAAATATTTATCGTTGATAAAGAAAACAGCACATCACCTCCGACATATGAATTAATCGATCAAGACAAAGAACAAATCTTAGGTAAATTTTACCAAAGCGAACTTAAAAAAACTGACTTTTAAAAATGAATAGCTTTCTCGATAAATATGGAACTGATACAACTACAAACTTTCAACTTATGAGATGGGCGAATGAGTTAAATATATCTCCGTTTTATTATTGTATGCGAGATGAAATAAATGATCTCAAATATAAGAAAGGTAAATTTTATGCTATAACAAATATACATACTTCCGATCAAAAAGGAGTTCAGCATCCTGCTTTGTACAAAAACTCTTCAAATAATATTTTTTATTCTTTTGGATTAGAACCGACTGAAGAGATAATGAAATTGACTAATCAACCAATCAAATGTTCTACATTTCAAATTCAATTACCAGGACAAAAGTTTTGTGGACAGCTTTCACTTTGGGTTTTATATCAGTTGAGTTTAGGAAAACAGTTTGAAGAAATTATAATAAATTTAACTTAATAAAAATGGCGAACAAGTTTGGTTTAGATTCTTTACCTTTAGATACTAAAAAACCTAACACTACAGCATGGATAAATAAAGCAAAACCTTATTTTGTGGATCAAATTGGAGATAGTGTTTTGAGTCCATCCAAGTACATTGTATCTGTCAAAAACAAGAAATTGAAGCACATCCATCACTATCCATTACTATTACTTGATGAACCTGAATTGGTTTTAAAAGGGTTAATAAAACACAAGACGATCTATTATGGTACGACTGAGGCAGGCCGCGAGTATTATCATGTACCGCACTCTAGCTCAGGGTAGCTGTACCTCGAACATCCCTCTTCCCAGCGGACAGTTGTGGGGTAATGAACGGTTCTACTGTTTTGGTCTTTTTCTCGTTCCAGGTCTGGAAGCTGTTCTCTTTTTGCTTTTTGTTCTTTTTGGTGGGAGTATAGAAGGCCGAGGAAACATTGTTCCTTTCGTCAATCTCCTCAGCACTTCTATTTTCATCTCCCTGGGTAAGTCGACCCATTCCTGCTGTTTTGTAGCCAATTCAGCATCAGGGAATGGGGTGGAAGTATTCCGTTTCCTCTGCTTCCCTATGTCTCGATGGTAGTCGTAAGGTCCTTCTGGCCAGCACAAGGAGCAACCGATCTTATGAACTTAGCAAGGTTGACGTCCTACTCTTCTGAAAGAGGACCTGCGTCCGATTCCTCGGACTCTGAGACAAGCAAGTGTCCTCCTCCAAAAGCCGAGAGAGCGTTGGTGGGCTTTTCTTTCTTTTTCGGGCAGTCTCTTGCCAGATGGTCGTTTTTTGAGGGTTTTGGCTGACCCTCGTACTTGATAGTCAGCCTCACCCCCTCATTGTTAGAGTGGAGGGAATTGGAGTTGTAAACCTCACCCCATTTTTAACTTGTTTACGGCCGTACAATACTTTTCAAGCTGGGTTAAGATATACTTATTCTCCAGCTCAAATGGTGCGCCATATATCTCAATCTTAATCTTGAGGGCCGGGATCTTGTTGGCCTGTTCCTGACTGTATTTAGTTAGGAGTATTATTTGTCAGCTTGATTGGGGAAAATAGCCATACAATGAGCAAGACTGGAAGCTCCTGACTTTATTTAGCTGTGAGTGTTATTTGTCAGCTTGATTGGAGAAAATAGCCATACAATGAGCAAGACTGAAAGTTCCTGACTCTATTTAGCTGTGAGTGTTATTTGTCGGCTTGATTGTAGAATACAATGAGCAAGACTGAAAGTTCCTGACTTTATTTAGCTGTGAGTGTTATTTGTCAGCTTGATTGGGGAAAATAGCCATACAATGAGCAAGACTGGAAGCTCCTGACTTTATTTAACTGTGAGTGTTATTTGTCAGCTTGATTGGGGAAAATAGCCATACAATGAGCAAGACTGAAAGCTCCTGACTTTATTTAGCTAGGAGTATTATTTGTCAGTTTGATTGTAGAATACAATGAGCAAGACTGAAAGTTCCTGACTTTATTTAGCTAGTAGTGGTATTTGTCAGCTTGATTGCGGGTAAAATAGCCATACAATGAGCAAGACTGAAAGCTCCTGACTCTATTTAGCTGTGAGTGTTATTTGTCAGCTTGATTGGGGGAAAATAGCCATACAATGAGCAAGACTGAAAGTTTCTGACTCTATTTAGCTGTGAGTGTTATTTGTCAGCTTGATTGGGGGAAAATAGCCATACAATGAGCAAGACTGAAAGCTCCTGACTTTATTTAGCTGTGAGTGTTATTTGTCAGCTTGATTGGGGGAAAATAGCCATACAATGAGCAAGACTGAAAGTTCCTGACTCTATTTAGCTGTGAGTGTTATTTGTCAGCTTGATTGGGGAAAATAGCCATACAATGAGCAAGACTGAAAGCTCCTGACTTTATTTAACTGTGAGTGTTATTTGTCAGCTTGATTGGGGAAAATAGCCATACAATGAGCAAGACTGAAAGTTCCTGACTTTATTTAGCATTGAGTGTTATTTGTCAGCTTGATTGGGGAAAATAGCCATACAATGAGCAAGACTAAAAGTCACTGACTGTATTCAGCTAGTAGTGGTATTTGTCAGCTTGATTGGGGTAAAATAGCCATACAATGAGCAAGACTGGAAGTTCCTGACTGTATTTAGCTAGTAGTGGTATTTGTCAGCTTGATTGGGGTAAAATAGCCATACAATAAGCAAGACTGAAAGTTCCTGACTCTATTTAGCTGTGAGTGTTATTTGTCAGCTTGATTGGGGGAAAATAGCCATACAATAAGCAAGACTGAAAGTTCCCGACTCTATTTAGCTGTGAGTGTTATTTGTCAGCTTGATTGGGGGAAAATAGCCATACAATGAACAAGACTGAAAGCTCCTGACTTTATTTAGCTGTGAGTGTTATTTGTCAGCTTGATTGGGGAAAATAGCCATACAATGAGCAAGACTGAAAGCTCCTGACGTTATTTAGCTGTGAGTGTTATTTGTCAGCTTGATTGGGGGAGAATAGCCATACAATGAGCAAGACTGAAAAATCCTGACTCTATTTAGCTGTGAGTGTTATTTGTCAGCTTGATTAGGGAAAATAGCCATACAATGAGCAAGACTGAAAGCTCCTGACGTTATTTAGCTGTGAGTGTTATTTGTCAGCTTGATTGGGGGAAAATAGCCATACAATGAGCAAGACTGAAAGTTCCTGACTTTATTTGGCTGTGAGTGTTATTTGTCAGCTTGATTGGGGAAAATAGCCATACAATGAGCAAGACTGAAAGTTTCTGACTGCATTTAGCTAGTAGTGGTATTTGTCAGCTTGATTGGGGTAAAATAGCCATACAATGAGCAAGACTGAAAGTTCCTGACTCTATTTAGCTGTGAGTGTTATTTGTCAGCATGATTGGGGAAAATAGCCATACAATGAGCAAGACTGAAAGTTCCTGACTTTATTTAGCTGTGAGTGTTATTTGTCAGCTTGATTGGGGGAAAATAGCCATACAATGAGCAAGACTGAAAGTTCCTGACTGCATTTAGCTAGTAGTGGTATTTATCAGCTTGATTGGGGGAAATAGCCATACAATGAGCAAGACCGAAAATTCCTGACTTTATTTAGCTCTGAGTGTTATTTGTCAGCTTGATAGGGGAAAATAGCCATACAATGAGCAAGACTGAAAGATCCTGACTCTATTTAGCTGTGAGTGTTATTTGTCAGCTTGATTGGGGAATATAGCCATACAATGAGCAAGACTGAAAGCTCCTGACTTTATTTAGCTGTGAGTGTTATTTGTCAGCTTGATTGGGGAAAATAGCCATACAATGAGCAAGACTGAAAGTTCCTGACTCTATTTAGCTGTGAGTGTTATTTGTCAGCTTGATTGGGGAAAATAGCCATACAATGAGCAAGACTGAAAGCTCCTGACTTTATTTAGCTGTGAGTGTTATTTGTCAGCTTGATTGGGGAAAATAGCCATACAATGAGCAAGACTGAAAGTTCCTGACTCTATTTAGCTGTGAGTGTTATTTGTCAGCTTGATTGGGGGAAAATAGCCATACAATAAGCAAGACTGAAAGCTCCTGACTCTATTTAGCTGTGAGTGTTATTTGTCAGTTTGATTGGGGGAAATAGCCATACAATGAGCAAGACTGAAAGTTCCTGACTTTATTTGGCTGTGAGTGTTATTTGTCAGCTTGATTGGGGAAAATAGCCATACAATGAGCAAGACTGAAAGCTCCTGACGTTATTTAGCTGTGAGTGTTATTTGTCAGCATGATTGGGGAAAATAGCCATACAATGAGCAAGACTGAAAGTTCCTGACTCTATTTAGCTGTGAGTGTTATTTGTCAGCTTGATTGGGGAAAATAGCCATACAATGAGCAAGACTGAAAGCTCCTGACTTTATTTAGCTGTGAGTGTTATTTGTCAGCTTGATTGGGGGAAAATAGCCATACAATGAGCAAGACTGAAAGTTCCTGACTCTATTTAGCTGTGAGTGTTATTTGTCAGCATGATTGGGGAAAATAGCCATACAATGAGCAAGACTGAAAGTTCCTGACTCTATTTAGCTGTGAGTGTTATTTGTCAGCTTGATTGGGGAAAATAGCCATACAATGAGCAAGACTGAAAGCTCCTGACTTTATTTAGCTGTGAGTGTTATTTGTCAGCTTGATTGGGGGAAAATAGCCTTACAATGAGCAAGACTGAAAGTTCCTGACTGCATTTAGCTAGAAGTGGTATTTATCAGCTTGATTGGGGGAAATAGCCATACAATGAGCAAGACCGAAAATTCCTGACTTTATTTAGCTCTGAGTGTTATTTGTCAGCTTGATAGGGGAAAATAGCCATACAATGAGCAAGACTGAAAGTTCCTGACTCTATTTAGCTGTGAGTGTTATTTGTCAGCTTGATTGGGGAAAATAGCCATACAATGAGCAAGACTGAAAGCTCCTGACTTTATTTAGCTGTGAGTGTTATTTGTCAGCTTGATTGGGGAAAATAGCCATACAATGAGCAAGACTGAAAGTTCCTGACTCTATTTAGCTGTGAGTGTTATTTGTCAGCTTGATTGGGGGAGAATAGCCATACAATGAGCAAGACTGAAAGCTCCTGACTTTATTTAACTGTGAGTGTTATTTGTCAGCTTGATTGGGGAAAATAGCCATACAATGAGCAAGACTGAAAGCTCCTGACTTTATTTAGCATTGAGTGTTATTTGTCAGCTTGATTGGGGAAAATAGCCATACAATGAGCAAGACTAAAAGTCACTGACTGTATTCAGCTAGTAGTGGTATTTGTCAGCTTGATTGGGGTAAAATAGCCATACAATGAGCAAGACTGGAAGTTCCTGACTGTATTTAGCTAGTAGTGGTATTTGTCAGCTTGATTGGGGTAAAATAGCCATACAATGAGCAAGACTGAAAGTTCCTGACTCTATTTAGCTGTGAGTGTTATTTGTCAGCTTGATTGGGGGAAAATAGCCTTACAATAAGCAAGACTGAAAGCTCCCGACTCTATTTAGCTGTGAGTGTTATTTGTCAGTTTGATTGGGGGAAATAGCCATACAATGAGCAAGACTGAAAGTTCCTGACTTTATTTGGCTGTGAGTGTTATTTGTCAGCTTGATTGGGGGAAAATAGCCATACAATCTGCAAGATTGAAAGTTACTGACTCTATTTAGCTGTGAGTGTTATTTGTCAGCTTGATAGGGGAAAATAGCCATACAATGAGCAAAACTGAAAGCTCCTGACTTTATTTAGCTGTGAGTGTTATTTGTCAGCTTGATTGGGGAAAATAGCCATACAATGAGCAAGACTGAAAGTTCCTGACTCTATTTAGCTGTGAGTGTTATTTGTCAGCTTGATTGGGGGAAATAGCCATACAATGAGCAAGACTGAAAATTCCTGACTTTATTTAGCTGTGGGTGTTATTTGTAAGCTTGATAGGGGAAAATGAGCAAGACTGAAAGTTCCTGACTCTATTTAGCTAGTAGTGGTATTTGTCAGCTTGATTGGGGTAAAATAGCCATACAATGAGCAAGACTAAAAGTCACTGACTGTATTTAGCTAGTAGTGGTATTTGTCAGCTGGATTGGGGTAAAATAGCCATACAATGAGCAAGACTGAAAGTTCCTGACTTATTTTTTAGCCATACAATAAGCAAGAATGAAAGACTATATTCAGCTAGGAGTTATTTAATTTGTCACAGTTTCCTAAATTTTATTGCAAATAAAATCATCTTAAGCAACACTCTATTTCAAACATTTTCTTCGCTCGAAATGTTGCATGGCATGCAGCGGCGGAGCCAGGTTTACGTCCGAGGGGGGACGAATTATTTGAGATTGCCCGAATTACTAACCTTACAGTTATGAGATTTTTGTCCAAAAAACTTGCTTTCGGGGCTGCGAGGGGTCAGTCCCATTGGCTTCGCCACTGATGGCATGGCGTTACCGTTACACAGAACTCCATTTCATTTTAGTTTTATTTACATGTATAAGTTAACATTGTTTCCATCATATTTCTAATGAAATCCTGACCAGCGTGAATGTCTTTGTTTTTGGCAGCTACAGACATATCATAATAATTCAAGTAGAAAACACGATCAGAGAATTCAGTTAGCTCGTAAATAAACTGAAAGCTCCTGACTTTATTTAGCTGTGAGTGTTATTTGTCAGTTTGATTGGGGGAAATAGCCATACAATGAGCAAGACTGAAAGTTCCTGACTCTATTTAGCTGTGAGTGTTATTTGTCAGCTTGATTGGGGGAAATAGCCATACAATGAGCAAGACTGAAAGTTCCTGACTTTATTTAGCTGTGAGTGTTATTTGTCAGCTTGATTGGGGAAAATAGCCATACAATGAGCAAGACTGAAAGTTCCTGGCTGCATTTAGCTGTAGTGTTATTTGTCAGCTTGATTGGGGGAAAATAGCCATACAATAAGCAAGACTGAAAGCTCCTGACTCTATTTAGCTGTGAGTGTTATTTGTCAGTTTGATTGGGGGAAATAGCCATACAATGAGCAAGACTGAAAGTTCCTGACTTTATTTGGCTGTGAGTGTTATTTGTCAGCTTTATTGGGGAAAATAGCCATACAATGAGCAAGACTGAAAGCTCCTGACTTATTTAGCTGTGAGTGTTATTTGTCAGCATGATTGGGGAAAATAGCCATACAATGAACAAGACTGAAAGTTCCTGACTCTATTTAGCTGTGAGTGTTATTTGTCAGCTTGATTGGGGAAAATAGCCATACAATGAGCAAGACTGAAAGCTCCTGACTTTATTTAGCTGTGAGTGTTATTTGTCAGCTTGATTGGGGGAAAATAGCCATACAATGAGCAAGACTGAAAGTTCCTGACTCTATTTAGCTGTGAGTGTTATTTGTCAGCATGATTGGGGAAAATAGCCATACAATGAGCAAGACTGAAAGTTCCTGACTCTATTTAGCTGTGAGTGTTATTTGTCAGCTTGATTGGGGAATATAGCCATACAATGAGCAAGACTGAAAGCTCCTGACTTTATTTAGCTGTGAGTGTTATTTGTCAGCTTGATTGGGGAAAATAGCCATACAATGAGCAAGACTGAAAGTTCCTGACTCTATTTAGCTGTGAGTGTTATTTGTCAGCTTGATTGGGGAAAATAGCCATACAATGAGCAAGACTGAAAGCTCCTGACTTTATTTAGCTGTGAGTGTTATTTGTCAGCTTGATTGGGGAAAATAGCCATACAATGAGCAAGACTGAAAGTTCCTGACTCTATTTAGCTGTGAGTGTTATTTGTCAGCTTGATTGGGGAAAATAGCCATACAATGAGCAAGACTGAAAGCTCCTGACTTTATTTAGCTGTGAGTGTTATTTGTCAG